TCCGCATGCTGTGGAGGCAGGACCCTCAGCTCCAGCCTACCTCTTTGGAGCAATCTATCAAGGAGCCCCAGATAGGTGAGCGGGGCCTACTTCTTTGGGGCGATCAATCGTGGGGCTCCTGCACTGTGAAAGGGCACAGGCCAGGCTGGGGACCCCTCCCCACACCCGAGTGCACAAATTTTATGCACTGGGCCTCTAGTCTATATATATAAAAGCCCAACAAACGAACGGCAGAACAACCAGAATGACTGGTCAACCAGTCGCTATGATGTTCACTGACCACTAGAGGGCAGACACTCAATGCAGGAGCTGCCCCATGGTGGTTGGTGCACTTCCACAGTCGGAGTGCCACTCCCACAGCGGGCTGATCCCCATAGACTCCACCCCCCACCAGTGCATGAATCCATGCACTGGGCCTCTACTATAATAATAAATGGAGAGAAAAAAAGAAAAGAGAATGCTGCCACCTTTTCATTGTCTGTAACAACTATGCAGATATGCCTTTAAATGGAAAATAAAACCAGGAAGAATACCAAAGTACTGAGACCTCACTTGTGTTAAGGTGGGAGAATTATGGGTAATTTTTCTCCCCTCTACTGTCCACATCCAGTGTGAAATCATTATTTTGCATTTGCTATGGACACAGTTGAAGTCCCTTTTGTCTCACTCCCCAGTCCCATTTCTCTTTCTCCCTTCCCAGAGGCAACTCCAGCTGGGAATGCAAGAGTGGATTCATTTAGTATATTTCTTACACTTTAGCTATAAACTCACATATCTGTTAAAGGTATAGTATTTTACATCTATACTAATAAAAGGGTAATATGCTAATTAGACCGGATAGACCAGACGTCTTCTGGACATCATTCCAGACGTCCTTCCTGACAAAACCGGGGCCTGGGCAAAGGAGGGAAGCCTGGGTCCCAGGTGTGGGGGCAAGGCAGAGGTGGTTAGGGGCGATCAGGCAGGGGCGATCAGGCAGGCAGGTGAGTGGTTAGGGGCGATCAGGCAGGCAGGTGAGTGGTTAGGAGCCAGTAGTCCCAGATTGTGAGAGGGATGTCCAACTGCTGGTTTAGACTAGTTTAGGCCTGATCCTGGTAGTTGGACATCCCCTGAGAGGTCCTGGATTGAGAGAGGGCACAGGCCAGGCTGAGGAACCACCCCTCTCCCCGTGCACAAATTTTGTGCACCGGGCCTCTAGTTTTTATATAAATGGCATCTTATTTTAACCTTCTGCAACTTGATTTTTTTCCAAAGCTGTGTTTTCATATTATACTAGAGGCCCAGTGCATGAAAATTCATGCACATGGGGGCATCCCTCAGCCCAGCCTGCACCCTCTCACAGTCTGGGACCCTTGGGGACTGCCCACCTGCTGGTTTAGGCCTGCTCCCTGAGAACAGATGATCTAAAAGAAATAATCATATCCTAGGGTAAGGATTTATCAAAAAGGAAATGGTCGCATTAAAATTCACTGCCAGTGGGGTTGAGGGGACTGAGGGACTCCGGTGGCAGGCATGCAGCACAGCCAGGCCTGCCTGGGGGCGGGCCCAGCTGCACCGTGCGCCTGCCACCCCTCAGCGGGGCTGAGGGGTCTGGGCATCGCCATCTTGTGGCTGTGGGTGCCACCATCTTTGTGAGGACATGATGGTCAATTAGCATATTACCTCTTTATTATATAGGATGTTAATGCATGTATGCCTAGTTTATTCATTCCATTTAGACATTGCCTGTATTTCTTTATATAAACAACATATCACAGTATGTTCACATATTCCCTCAATGAGGAACATGAAGATGGTTTTAAATTTTCAACCTTTCAAATGATGCTGCAACAATCATCCTCATATATTTACAGGTAAATATGAGCAAGTTTCTCTAGGTTTTTGTTTTTTGTTTTTTTAACTTAGAGTTAGAAGGGCTAAACAAGAGTAAATAAACAACTTTAGTTTTGCTAGGTATTGGAAAATTATCCTCCAAAATAGTTGTTCCAATTCATATTCTCAAACCTGTATGAAGAGTTCCTGTTTTCCATATTCTTGCTAAATGAGATGTTTTTCAAACTTTTAAGATTCTTGCTAAACTGAAGGGTGTGGAACCAAATTATCATTGTCTTGACTTCTATTTCCCCAGTTACTGTGAAGTTGTGAATTTACTTATAAACTATTTAGTTGTTTGCTTCTGTGATATCTACCGTATGCTTCTGTCCAATTTTCTATTGGTTTCTTTGTCTTTCTATTGCAGGAGTTCCTAATAGAGTTTACATATTAACTCCTTTTGTTCCACTTTTCTCTTGTGACATGTTTGGAGGTTAATCTAGTTAAGAAAGTTTTACCTGGAATGCTTTCTTGCATCTATTAAAATAATCTGAGTGGGGTTTTATTTTCTCTTTCATTGTTTTAGTATGATTAATTGCAATCACAGATTTTCTGATGTTAAGTCATCCTTGAAGTCTTGGGGAAATTTTAGTTGTTTTTATTACTGATTAATTCATTTTTCTACTATTTTATTCAGACTAAAATGTCTTAAGTGAGATTGGGCTATATTTTTCTTTCATTGTTTGGTCATCTTGTGGTTTTCATATCAAAATTATTCTTTCATTTTAAAATGAGTAGCATAGCTTTTCCTTTTTTTCTTCTCTGAAACTACTCATTAAACCTCACCACAGATGGGCAGAATGTGGAGGTGGGTAGGGGGGACTGTGGGTTTGTGCACTGTTTATTCAAGCCCTTTTATGGTTTATTGGCCTATCCATCTTTCTATTTTTTCTTTAGTCACTGTGATAATTTTATATTTCTCACTAAATTTGCTGATTTTCTCTAGACTTTCAAACTTATTGGCAGAGAACTGATCATAACATCCTCATAGATTTCTAAGAACCTGAAGCTATCCCCAGTTTTGTCCTCTTTTTTACCTCTACTCTGTGGTTGTGTGTGTATACCTTCTCTCATTTTCTTGAACAGTCATGCTAAAGTATGTTCTACTATTAATATACCTACCTAAGCTTTCTTTTTGGTTAGCATTTGGTTTGGCTCTCTTTCCCATTCATCAATGCCAGCGCTTTGGTTTGTCTGTTGCTTTATAGCAGCATTAGCTGTATTTTTAAAACAGCAAGTCAGATAATCTATATTTTATTAGAGTAGGTTCATCTCTGCATTCTTATGATTTTTGATCTATTTGGACTTTTTCCCATCATATTTCATGTTTTAAATTTACTATGAAATTTCTTTACTTGGATTTTTTTCTTCCTTTTCTGCCTTCTTAAACATTTAAGTTTTCTTATTGCACATTTTCCTTCTACCAGTTGAGAAGTTAAATATTCTATTTCAATCTTTTTTAGTAATTACAGTTAAATTTTGACATCTACAATTAAGTCTGACGTTAGTCAAAATCTCTACCCTGCTCCAAAACAATATAAAGACCTGAGAATAATTCTCATAGCTTTCTCTCACCATCATATTATTATTTAATATTTTAATTCCATTTTATTCTTTTTAAAAATATGTTTTATTGAATTTTACAGAGCTAGGAAAAGAGAGAGAGAGAGAGAGAGAGAGAGAGAGAGAGAGAGAGAGAGAGAGAAAGAGAAACATCGATGAGAGAGAAACATCAATTGCTGCCTCCTGCATGGCTCCCACCAGAGATTTGAGGCTGCAACCCGGGCATGTGCTCTGACCAGGAATCGAACCAGCGACCTCTGGGTACATGGGTCGATGCTTAACCACCCACACTGGCTGAGCCATTTTATTCTTAATTAACACTGACTTTATAATTATTCAAAGTGTGTGTATACATTTTTGGGGATTGTGTGTGTGTGTGTGTGTTGAACCTTCTCATTCTATTCTCCCTACTGTTAACTTTTCCTTTAATATTTTTCATCTGTTAATCTCTCTGTGCTACCTTCTGGGTAACTTCCTCAGATTTAACTAGTTCACTAATTCTCTCTTTTGCTACACCCAGTCTACTTTTCAACCTAAACATTAAAATTTTTATTTTAAGAACTATATTTATTATTTCTATAACTTCTTTCTCTTGTCTCCTACTGTACATGTTTTTTTCACACCCTCTAATGGATTTTGTCCCTCGCTTTATTTCTTTGAACACATAAAATGTATTTATTTTAAAGCCACATTCATATAATTCTGTTATTTAATTCTTCTGAGTTAAATCTTCCATCTATCTATGGTGGCTCCTTTCCTGGTGGGGTGTACAGTTGTGACTATAAGCTTGTTTGTAGTGGGAACTGTTTCTTTAGAAATCATAGGTGTCCAAGGATATGGAAGTATGTTTACCGAGTAATTTCAGAGTTGCTTTAGCAGAAGGTAGGGTTGCATTTCAAGCACCCTTTTGGCTTTGCATCTTAGAACTATACAGACAGTCTGCATCTGGAACCCACACCTGTGCAAGTTTCTGGTATCTCATGGGGACTCTCTTTTAGCTCTAATAGCCATTATCAGGCAGCAGTCTTCCTGCTCAGAACCTAGGAGAGTGCACCAATAGTTTTAGAACTCCTTTTGCAGATGGGATGGCATTTTGTGACTCTGGACTTCATGCTGATGGCTCAGTTTCAGCATCCCATTCAGATGAGGCCTGTGGCTCAGACATAACTTCCAACTCAGACCTTAGGTCCCCATTCGACCAGTCGCTCAGATCTTTCTTTATTTGGTTCCCATTTGCCTCTGAGTCCCTTGGTTACAGTTCTCATTTACATCTTTAATTGTGAGTTTCCTCTTGATGTCTGGCACCTGGAGATTTTTACCTTACTGATGTCTAGATGAGTTAGGTGTTCTTTGTATAAGTCTTTGCATTGTTATATTTTATCCAGAATTCCTATGTCTTTAGAACAGGGATGGTGTGCCTTCCATGTCTGCTCAGGTTACCATATTGGCCAGACATACTTATATTACCTCTCTAATGAGGAAAAAATACAAAAAAAGTTTTACAATACAAAATGTTTAAAGAAACATTTTATTTTGACTAACCTTCTTTTCTCCATGCTTCTCAGTGCAGAATTTGAAGAACCACATAATTATGAGGCAATAATTCCATATCTGAGACATTCTGGCAACTCCATTAACCTGCGCACTGCAGAAGAAATCGCTGGTTGTAAGTCTGCTAAGCCAATTAATATTGTAACCCCGTGTGGAATGAAAATGTGTCAAAAATGGTATTTTCTCCCCACTGACTATGAAGTTAAACATCCACAGCCATGCTGCTTTACCATATAATTCCCCCCTCCTTTGTCTAGTCTCTTACAAATATAAATGCATCCAGTTGGGCATGTGTGCTATCTCAGGACTCAGCACTGCCTTCTCTCTGCCCTCCTCTGGCCTTTCTTCACTGATCTAGATGCTTTGCCTTCTGTCGCTATGTGGGAGGAAAAGATCAAGATATGGTGATTCGTTTTTCTTCCTTGTCCTCCTATTCAGTCTTCATCTCTCTTCTTGAAATGTCTTTCCTGAAGTCCCTGAAGCTTCATGTATGGAGAGGAAGATAACAGACCATGGGAATTAGGTCCCTTGTGTGTTTAGCCTTGATAGGAGCATAGGATTCATTTAATGGCTCTGACCAATGGTTCAGAGTTACATCTTCTTGTCTCTGGTATCACCAAAAAAGCTCAGACTTTTATGTGAAAAAAAGAGACCCTTTCAGGGAAGAAGATGAAGAAGCAGAGATTCATAGCATTTCCACAAGTTTCTATGTCTCTGTCCTGCCTGTAGGATCAGTCAGTTCTCTATGAAAGGCGTACATGTTGGTGCCAGAATAAACACTAGCATTTACTGACCTTGTGTGATGGGTCCCAGTTCTGTGTTAGGTCTTCTGTGTACATCCTGCTGATAGGGTGATTTTAACCTACTTTGAGAGACGGGAAACTCAAGGTGAGAGATTGAGTAACCAAAGTCACATAAGGGCTATGTGTGGAGCTATAATGTGAAATGGGCTCAGACTGCCTCTGAGATCCAAGCTCTTCCCACCACTTTATGCTGCTTCTCCTTCAAGAAGGTTTTCATTCTCCCCTCTGCTAGTTGTCCTCTTCTCCCAGCTGGGATGCTGCTGTTCAGTGGAGAGCGTTATCTAACTCCGCGTGAAATGTGAGCAAGGACTCCAGTGCTGTGGGTTCCTAGTCCCTTCCTGACCCTCTGGGGTCCAGCCCTTTGAACTTTACATTTCTATCTCGATAGCAAGTTTTTATGGCAAGACTTACTATTAAACTTTGTTTTAAAAGCAGCATTAAATTATGAATGTGTTATTAACTGTGCATGCATTACGCTTTTTTGGTAGTCCTCCGCTCCACCAGCCGGGCTATGGAAGGGACTGTATCACCCTTTTTTATTGGCCTTGTCAAGTAAGGTATCTCTGAGCCTTGGTTGGCCCATATCTAAGACAGAATCATAATATCTCCCCCACCCAATGGCAAGGAGAAGCAAAGAAACCATGATTTGTTAATTCTTTAAATAAATATATATGGTAAATAAGCTGGAGGAAGGAAAGAAGGTATTTTTTTTAATTGGAAAAAAATATCCATACTTTGAATGGATGAGGCCATCTGTGTCATAAGCAGTCATTTTAAATGTATTAATAGCTAAACAAAGTTTTTAAAGCAAGTAATAGCAGAATGTTTGATTCAAAAACCAGTAAAAATAACAGTGTACAATTACCCAAGTTGACTTATATATTATTAATCATCCATCCAGAATTTTAGGTCTGTGTGTCAACAATCCCATGTGGGTAGTTCCTACGGAAAACCTAGGGTTTCCTTTCCTTTAAAAATGGGTTGTATGTTTAGAATCATTATGGCTTAAGAATGCAACATGACATTTGGTCAGTTTTCTAAACTAAAGCTTCAGGACTCTAGCAGAAAGAGGAAAAAAGAAATGGGGAGGGGAGGTCCTACTCATTATGCACTCATTAACAGTAAGGGAAAACTTTTATAGATAACTTTTAAGCAAGGAAACATCAAACTAGCAATTTCATAAAAAAAAAAAAAAAACTAAACTAAAAACACATCACTTTCTATACAACAGTGACCTGCTAGGTATGTTAAGTTTCTTACATCAACTCCTTTAATCTTCCCATTATCTCTGTATGGCAGATACCAACTGACCCCATTTCATAGATGTGTAAGCTGAGGTTCAAAGAAATGAAGTAATGTGTTTGCAATCCCACAGGTAGTATCAGGACTGGGTTTTGAACCCAAATTCTTGTCACTACTTGTGTTTGTTAGGTTGGCATCATGTCATTAAATAAAATCCACAGAACTATTGAAAAAAATCAAAAGGTTTTCCAGCCTGAGTTGTGGTCCAACTCTTCTTTTCAAGCTGCACTAAGAAACTTGAGATGGGTGGGAGAAAACACTTTTAGACATGCTATGGCAGTCATTTTGTTGAAATGGGATATAGATTGTTTCTGACTTTTTCCCCCTTTCCTTTTCCTTTCAAGTTTGTCTTCTGAGTGCTACCACTCAATTTCAGTGATTTCTCTTAACACGTTAAGCACCCAGTCAGTCACCGGTGACTGATACTACACTTTCCGTCTGGAAGACAAAACAGGCTGGGTACTTAATGTCTTAATCATAGGGAAGGAATGTATTTACCCAAACAGGAAACTCAAAGTTGTTTCAAATGTTTTCATTGATTGTACATTCCATCCTGGAAATCCCCATGAAATTAAAACTGTGATCACTGACCCCGAACTTCCCAAACCACCTTGATAAAGCCTTACATAGATCCATGTGAAGGTGGAGAACACTGAACTCTCGTCTTGCATAATTGATTTCACACTGGGTACTGTATGAAACTGGTACTAAAGGAACTGCCTTGAAATCATTCTTTTTCATCTTTATTTTAGCAACTTATGAAGTTGGAATTGAAGAACTCCAAAAGGTATTGTTTTCTCTCTTCTTTATTTTAAATATATGTATTTTTATTGATTTTAGAAAGGAAGGGTGACAGAGAGAGAGGGAGAGAAACATCAGTGATGAGAGAGAATTGCTGATCAGCTACATCCTGCACACCCCACACTGGGGATTGAGCCCACAACCTGGGCATGTGCCCTGACCAGGAATCAAATCTTGACCTGATTCATAGGTCAATGCTCAACCACTGAATCACGCTGACTGGGCACTTCCTTTCTTCCTAACAACTTTCTAACTAAAACAGTGTGCAGAGTTTATTCTGAAGAAGTTTTGATTAGGAGGGAGAAAAGGTCCTTCTTGTCAGTTTCCCCCTGATGTCTGAGGTGCTCAAACTCGAGCTGATAAGGTTCTGAAGCCTGAGCCCCAGTGTCAAAGACAGAAGACGTGTAATGGAATGGGAAACACTGATCCTCATCCACTTCCAACCCCTCATCTTTGGCACCCAACTGGCTTTTACTTACTGTCTCTTCGGGGGGAAGATGTCTTTGGCACAAGACAAATTTATACATCCCAGGCTTTCACAGACTGCCCAAACCTTGAAGGCACATCCTCTGGCCTCCTGGTAGGCACAGTACCAGGTGACTCCTTGGAGGCATTGTAGCAACTTGATTAGGGCCCAAGCACAATCCCTGGCCTTGATCCCAGCCACTGGCTGTGCAGCCTGAGTCTCCATTTCTTCACCTGTAGAACGGAGGTAACAGAAATGCCCACCGCTGGGATCGTTGTGAGAATGACTATAAGGTAAATTCAGATACACAGTTTAAGAGCCAGTGCCTGGAGTCTGGTCCATGCATATGGTCTCTCCCAGCTCCCATTGTATCTTCTGTAAAATGGTGTGTTCTCCAAGAGGGCAGGATGCACATGCCTGTGGTTACCACACCTGCAGTGGCAGATGTCAGTGCAGAAGGGGTCCAGTATGTGTCTCACTAAACTTCTGTGAGAACTAAGTGAGACAGAGGAGGTAAGCACCCAGCACTGCAGGTGGCACACAGTAGGCACTCACCTAACGCTGTGACTAAGTCCGTTAGGGTTCTACTCTTTTCTCACTGGGTACCGTTAGTCTAGAGCCTTTAACTTTCTGCTCCAGTTTTCTGGGCTTACTGGAAAGGACTGCTCACCTGTGGCTAGAAAACTCTAGGTGGTTATTATTCCTACTAGCGAGCGCAGAAGCATTCTATTAAAATGCTTCCCTTACCTGGCAGCATGGGCAAATAATCAGCTTCTCTGTGCAGTGCACTCTCTGAAGGACCAAATTGTTTCCCTCGCAAAATAAAGCAGCATGAACGTATTCTTCATTTTTAACTAAACCTTGCAGTCTTCAGACATGTTTGTGTTCATCTCAGGATTTTCTCTCCTGGTGGCTGGAAACTGCTGTCACCCTTTCCTGGTGATGGGAGCGCAGGGGGCAGAGTAGGCAGTCCACTCTCCTAAGAGATGTTCTTGGGCCCCTGCAGGTGCGCAGACCAGTTGCCCTCACCCAAACCACCACAAGTCTGTGCTGCCATCATTTTCTGATGGTTGTCATTTCTTTCTACTCTCACTATCTCCGTGTCTATCAGTGAGTCCCTCGTGTGCTCAGGCGGGTATGGACCAGGTCTGTGTGTGCCAGGCACTGGTGCGTACATGGTAGGACTTCATCCACAGCATCACTGGTGAGCGGGTACACTGCTTCCACTCTACAGGTGAGAACTCGGGGCCCAGAGGGGCTCTGTAACCTGTAATAACAGAGCAGAGATCTGAGATGAGGTCCATCTCCCTGGTCCTACCAATGCTGCCATCCAAGTGGCTAGATGATACAGGAAAGAGAAACCAGTGGGCCCTGAATGGAGACCTGGGTGTGCTGAGCTACTGGGCCTGGACTATGTGGCAGCATTTTGGATGCTGGGATAGTCTGTTTTCTTCAGGTTCTTGGCTAGATTCCAAATACGGAATGGCACCAGCGCTGTGATGAGTAAATACATGAGGACTGTGTTGTCATCAGTAGGACACAGTTTTCATGGAGTCAAACCCAGACCACGGTAGAGTTGAATTTGGATCACTGGGTGCGTGATCAATGCGGGAGAATTCCCAGCATGACCTGCACACTCTCCAATTTGTCCACTGAAATACTGCATTGCTCAAATATTACAAATGTGCACTTCCTCATATGATTTAAAAGTTTTCTACTCTACAGATGCATTCCTGGAAAGGTACGCAGCAAACTGTTTATTTTTCTATGTGAAATCATACATTCCCACTGGCATACTCTGTCATTTCAGAAATGCTTGTTTTCTTTTCTGACCTTCAGCCCCACTGGGAACAGTGCGTGGAAGTTTCTGTTGTCAGTGTCTGCATTTGCTTGTGCTGAGATCTCACCCACCTTCTCCTTGCAGTCTGGTCTCTAATGATCTGTATCCAAGCAGAGACCTGGTTGATGAGGGTGTGTTTATGAAAATGACCATTTGCCTCTTTACTTTCAGCCTTGGAAGAGTTTCCTCCACCAAGAACATAGGTGAGTTTTATCTTCAAAAGGAAAGGGAGTAATCCAGCCGCTGATGACTGAACTAGTGTCTCCGATGGCACAGCTCTGATTCCAGTGTCTGACCTGGCTCAGCACCTCAGGGCCTGGCCAGGCACCTGATGCAGAGAAGGTGCTCAGGGACCTGTCCCTCTCGTCTTGCTCCAGCCCACACTGCTGTCACTCAGCAAACACAGCACATGGAAGCTATTTTTGAGCCACTGGGGCTTTAGCTGTTACGGAGGCCTTGCCACTCTCCTCAGAGACTCCTGGATTAAAGGAAGTGTCACGCAATCCAGAAGGCATGGAACCATCATGGGAATCCCCAGGAACTTAACATTTCCCAAACGCACCATGCGGTCTCAAGTCCCTTTGCCTTTGCCCATTTAATTAACTCGCCCCAACTTAATGATCTGGCAAACACCTACTGACCATCAAATGTCCCTCCTACAAGAAGCCTTCCTTGATTCCCCTCCTCCAGCGAGGGGTAGCCAGTCCCTTCCCTGTGGCACCACTGTAAGGTACCCATGAGTTTGCACTGGTGTCACTGTGCGTTGTGTTTGTTAGCATGCCTGTTGATTTTCACCCTCCTGCCCACTCTCTTGCTGTGAGCTTCTTGCGGGCAAGGCCCATATTTCCTTGTTCTTGGTGTTCCTGGCCCAGCTCAGTTTGAATGAGACACATTTCAAGTGTTCAATAGCCACATGTGGACTGTGACCACTGTATTGGATGGTGCAAATTTAGGCTTTGTCTGGTAGGTCAGGGAGAACCATGAAAGAGTTTCAAAGCAGAGATAATGCACCCTCTCCCCATAATATTATTCCTGTAAATCACAATATTAAATGTGTGGAAACTCCTGGACAAGGTCTGGGGGATAGGAAGATGGATTACAAAGGACATGTATGTCAATAAGGCAAGTAAATACTTTAGAGCAGGGGTGGGGAACGTCTGGACCGAGGGCCGTATAAGGCCCTCAAAATCATTTGGTCTGGCCCTGCCAAGACATTAGGAGTGACTTACTTAAATGTTTGACCAAATATGGCAGGCTAATTTTCAAGTTGATAATTTTGTATGGCTTGTGAATGGTGTTATAAATATCCAAATGGCCCTTGGCAGAAAAATGGTTCCCCAGCCCTGCTTTAGAGGAAATATCAATAATTGCAATGGGAACAAAAGAACTGGGTGATTCTAACTCAGCAAATGCTTTGATGAAGAAGAAGGCATGCTATAAACAATGTGAGGCTTTCAACACTTTTATCACATTTCGTTCTTATGGCAACCATGGAAATTGGCATGTGACCTTTCATTTATACATGAGAAAATTTGATTTTTAGGAAGGTTAATCTTAGACTTAGAAAGAGGGACAGTGGGAATTAGAACCCAGTCCTCATTTCACAGTCCCCGTTCATCACAGGAAAACCAGTAAGTGCTTCAATGGTAAACAAGAGTGCTGAGTAATTAGATGAATGAATGAAACTCCTTAAAACTCTTTCCCTCCCTCGTCTCTCAGAACAGCACTCTTCTGGTGTTTTTCCCTTCTTCATGCCCACCTCTTCTTTCATTGGAGGGCCCTTCTTTCTCTGCCTTCCATTGAAACATGGTTGTAGAACCATCTAATTCAGGGGTGGGCAAACTTTTTGACTCGAGGGCCACAATGGGTTCTTAAAGTGGACCGGAGGGCCAGAACAAAAGCATGGATGGAGTGTTTGTGTGAACTAATATAAATTCAAAGTAAACATCATTACATAAAAGGGTACGGTCTTTTTTTTTTTTTAGTTTTATTCATTTCAAAGGGGCCGGATCCGGCACGCGGGCAGTAGTTTGCCCACGGCTGATAGTTCATAGTAAGGCTAGAAACGGAACTTCTCACTTGGATGCTGATGCTCCCCAGCATTCTGTTCTTGGTCCTGTTTCTCATTCATTCTCCGCCTTGACTGTATCCTCCTCCAGGGCAGCTGCTGTCTACATATTGGTGGGCAGCCATCCTTTGTGTCATTGGGAACACTGTGCCCTGCTCTTGCTACCCTGGGTCACACAGCACCAGTGGGGGGTGATTAAGAGAGTTCTGCCTCTTTGTAGCTTGATTTTTAGGTAGTTGACAAGGCAAAGCAGAGGAATTAGAGACAGATCCATAGGCACTACATTATAATACGAGATGGAAGGACAGAGTGCTGCAGATAAGGCATGCCTGCTCGAGAGAATCGGGTAGATTCCAGAGGTAATTTGACTAAGACAAACTGAGAAGGGTGCTGTGTGTTTCAGCAATAGAAGATGTGGAAGGTGTGCCTAACAAAGGAAATGGAAGTAAAAAGGAAGAGTTGCTCAAAGTAGCATGGTAGGTTTGGGGGATTGTCAGAGTCTAGACTAGAACAAAAGTGCAGGATGGAGCAGGGGGAGATAGGGTGGAAAGCAAAGTAGGGGCCAGACCACTATGGAACTTAAGTTTTATCCTACAAGCAATGCGGAGTTATGAGGCAATTTTGAGCAGGAATTTACTCTGGCATTGATTGGAGCAGACAGAAACTCAGAGAAGCTATCTATGGTTGGCCTGATCCTGGTCCCCCTCACCTTTAAAAAAAATGAAGAAGAGGAATTGACATCTGTTTGAATTCATTTTTCCCATTCATTTTCTTTAGGATTGAGTGGTACACTACTATCTAAGCACTCTAAACTTCACTTTTTTTTCCTGGGTGTCTCTTCACATTTCAGCCCTCAACATGAAGATCAAGATAAAAAAATAAAGGAAAAAGAGCCACATGAATTGGAACCTCAGAAAGCAGAAAAGGATCTACATCCAGACCTTATGTGCAAGGTATCTGTGTTCCAGGGCTCTAGCCCAACAGTGCAGTACAGCTGTGTCATAGGGTCCATTCACTGGGTGACTTTTTAGAGGGTGAGGCATGCAGCCCTCAGAGTCCGAAGATGCAGTGGGTTTTGAAGGCATTTTACCAAATATAGGAACGTGACGACAACACTGAGCTCCAGCCTGGGATTTTCCACTGAGTAGCCCGACGCAGGCCTTTGCAGTAGGGTGGGGCAGGTGTGAGTCCAGCAAGGCACCGAGTGGGCAAGACACAGAGACACTCAGGTGCTGACCGTGCACTTGAACATGCCTGGAGGGAGGATTCTGTGCTCTTTGTCTCTAAGCTCTGTCATCTTATCTGTAAAATGAGAATATAATCACCATCCCCATTCCTACCCTCAGTCACGATGATAAAATGAAATAATGTACATGGAAGTGCTTTGTAAGCCATAAGTTACCATAAAAATGAAATGTATTATTGTTGTCTATTGATTGATTGGTTGGTTGATAGTTTATTAATACTAAATACATTATATGTGTGTGTACTGATATCCAGTTGACACTACTCCCTCCAAAGTAGTATGATTGGAGGCTTAAACAATAGGTTCCACCAGGGCTGCTACTAGTGCTTAAGAAATTCTAGATACCTGTATAATATCTACCTGTATAGAAACCGTATAATATCAAATTGTCTCAGGTTCTTCTGCACGGATTGGATCTATCATATTGATGGTGGAGTTAGCCTGAGCTAGTGTGTCGGCCCAGGATGGGGCTGGACCAGGTTGGGTGTATAATTCAGAGAATTATGAAAGACAGGGACCAGCCTGGCTGGTATGGTTCAGTGATTGAGCAGTGACCCATGAACCAGAAGGTCATGGTTCAATTCCCAGTCAGGCAGATGCTCAGATTGTGGGCTCATTCCCCAGTAGGGGGCATGCAGGAGGCAGCCAATCAATGATTCTCTCTCATTATTGATGTTTCTATATCTCTCTCCCTCTCCTTTCCTCTCTGAAATCAATAAAAACATATTTTTAAAAAGAGAAAGACAAGAATCACAGCCAGGGAAGCAGCACTGTACGTTAAGGCCAGAGGGCAAGGGCAGGGGCAGGGCTATAAATGGGGGATAAGGTCATAGGTCAGGAAAGCATTAATCAGGAGCTTGTGAGAAAGGCAGTAGAGGAGCCTGGTTAAGATGTATTGACCATTAAAGAGCAAAAGCAAGATGTGCTCTCAGTGCTGGCCATGAGACAGGAGCCAGGTATGGGGTTGGACATATTCCTACATTCATTGAGTAGATTTGAGTTTGGGATATTATTAGAAGTTATTTGGAATGTGTTAGACAAATGTGATGGGTAGTTTAGCTGGGCAGTGCTCTTTGGGGTCAAATACAAACTATAAGTCAGTAGATACATAATCCACTGTGATTCAAACTGACTCTAGGGCACAATCCCAAGGACAGACCCAATGAGAATCCATGAACTACTTTATATGGACTACCTGTGGGAAGGCAGCCACCATACCTGTGTGAAACATTGACTTCCCTATTTCCTTATTACTTTTCCTATTTAAAAACTCATTCTTGGCTATGTGACTAAGAAGAATGCCCCTCCTAACACTGTCCTCTTAGTTTGCTTAGATCCCACCAATAACTAAGAAAATTCCATGCCTTTTATCTGTTGGTTACTTTAGCTTTTTTCAAGTGCTTTCAAATATATCATCATAGTCAACCCTCATGTTCAGTTGTGATCAGAAAGACAGTAATCCCCTCTCCTGTTTCATGTGATCATTAGAAAATACTTAGATGGCCAGAAATGTTCGGATTCTCCTCCGTCTCCAGTGTCTCTTTCTGCAATGTATCCAGATCTTTCTGGAATGCAAATCTGAACAGGTTTCTTTCTTGCCTGGCTCACTGTCACTGTGAGATGAAGCCCACACACTGCCTCAGATGCAAAATCCTTCCCAACTCAGCCCCATTCTATCTTGTCTTTTTAGTCTCATTTCCTGTCTTTCTTCCCCTATTCTTTCCCCCTGGCCCTTCAAAGGTTCCCTTATCAGTAGCCTCCATACTATCCTCACAGGACACTAAATACCACATGCTTTTACTCATGCTGATTTATCTTCTAGGTAGACCCTTTAGCCCCTCAATCAATCTCTTATATTTTAAAACACAGTTTAATAAAACCTGCCTTTGAAGTCTTCCCCAACCCTGTCTCTTAAAACCTCCTCCTCCTCTCTGTTTCATCTCAGTGAGCAATACTGTTGTGAAAAGCTTGCCACATTATACCTTAACTAGAGGCCGGGTTCATGAAATTCGTGCATGGGGGGTGGGGGGGGAGGGGTCCTCAGCCCAGCCTGCACCTTTTCCAATCCGGGACCCCTCTGGGGATGTCCGACTGCTGGATCCCTGTAGGATCAGCCCTAAACTGGCAGTCGGACATTCCTCTCACAATCCAGGACCACTGGCTCCTAACCACTCACCTGCCTGCCTGCCTGATTGCCTCTAACCCCTCTGCCTGCCTGCCTGATTGCCCCTCACTGCCCTTCCCTGCTGGCCTAATCGCGCCTAACCACTTCTGCCTCAGCCTCCACCAACGTGGCTTTGTCCGGAAGGAGGACCGGACGACCGGAAAATGTCCTGTTGACCTGGTCTAATTAGCATATCACCCTTTTATTAGATTATTTGTATATATTGTTTCCATGCATATAAACTACTGTGTAGGTAGCATCCCTCCATTTCCAAAGGGTAGCATGTTGTTTCACCTTCAGTAAATATTCAAAAAATGCTGGAAAGAGTTAGGTAGGAACGGAAGAATGGTGGCTAAAAAGATGAAATGTCAGGCGAAAGGCACCAAGTATTCCTTAGTGATCAAGAGCACAGGGGTCTAAGGTCAAGTCCTGCCTCTGTATATTACCAGCTGTGTGACCAGATGCTGCAGTCTTCCGCAGCAAAGGTTCAGGAAACTGGAGGAGGGGCTGCAACATAAATGGATAGAGACTAGACAAGAAATATAAATTTAGTAGGCATGGGGGAAAGCCAGGCGGAAACCAGCTCTCTAGTGGAGTGGCTTCCCGAATGTCCAGACCCACGGCTTTTTATTCACACATTTTGCCCTTTAGCAAAGCATCATACACATCAAAGGTAAAGTTTGGTAAACCGTAAAAGATTATCAGGTTAAGGCAGTGGTCAGCAAACTGCAGCTCAGCAAACTGCGGCTCATGAGCCACATGTGGCTCTTTGGCCCCTTGAGTGTGGGTCTTCCACAAAATACCGACTTCTGTGCATGGGCCACAAAGTTTCAATCGCACTGTACGTGCGCGCTGGCATGTGGTATTTTGTGGAAGACCCACACTCAAGGGGCCAAAGAGCCGCATGTGGCTCACCAGCACAGTTTGCCGACCACGGGGTTAGGGGAATTGCTACAGCTGTTCGGCCAGCAGCAGGCTAATATAATGCTGATATTCAGCCCTGTTGCATATCAAAGCCCATCAGCCTTTTGAGGACTTTTCGCATTTATTATGACCTGCTGGACTTAGCCTCCAGCAACCAGATGTAAGTTATTTAACGTTCCAAACTCTTTATCCAGAGCACTAAGGACACTTCCCCAATGGGGTGTCATGAAGATTAAGTAAGATTAAATCTATAAGAACCTGCCTCTGGTCAGTACTCCATTCTATCCTGCTGGCCTCCTGTGCCCAGCATTTGTTGGGCATTCAGAGGTGAACAAAAGACACAGTATGAGCCCTCAGAAACTCAGAGTCTACTAAGACAGAGTTAAATAAAATAATACATCAGTGCTGTCTATGAGGAATTAATAAACAGCATGTGTAAGCAGAGAACTAAACAGGTAAGTCAAAGCCCTTCAGTACTCTCCCTGTTGCATGTGTTTAGGTGGGTTCCTATGAAGAGACGTGTGGAAAAGTCCCAATGATGAACGTTCAGAGACATATGAAGAGAATGCTGGCCAGAGAGAAGGATGCTGTGATTGACAGCATCCAGACAGAGGCCTGCCCCCAGGACCCAAAGCTGGCCAGGCACTCCCAAAGCCAATGTAAGTTGCATTTCTTCCTGGCTCTCCTCACCATTATGACATTATTTTAAAGTGGTGTGTTGCCAAGATTTTAATTTATTTTCTAAATATTTATTGACCATCTGTTATGTACCAAGTAACTTGCCCTAGTGAGGCAGCTGAGCAGTAGTGGAAAGACCACTGGACTTAGAGGCAGAAGACCTGAGTTCAGTCTAGATGCTAATACTTATTAGCCATGGGGTAAGTAACTTCATATTTCTGCAGCTGGGTTTCTTTACTTATAAAAAGAGATCATAATGTGGGCCTCACCAGGGTTTTTTGAAGACTAAATTGAAAAGTATGCCACATAATAGGTACTCAGCAAATATTTGTTCCTTCTTTTTAATCTACCAGATCCTAATGGGTTTGTTTTTGTAGACCCATGTAATTGACACACTGATGCTACAGTATGATATCATTACTTGACTTTATTTAGGTTGCATTTTACCTTCATGCTAGTTAAGACACTTGATTATAAGTAACAGTAATCAAATCACACCATCTTAAGTCAAAAAAAAAAAAAGAAAGAAAGAAAGGGATGCTCCAGGGCCACAAGCAATACTACAAGGGTTCAGTATTGCTCCTGGCTCTGCTCCCTCTGGGTCACTTCACTTTTGGTCAAATCCTACCCCTGTGGAGGCAAGATGGCATCTAGCAGTAACAGGCTCAGACCCTGTCCTCTTAGGAAGCCCAGAGGAAAACTGGAAATTGTCATATTCTTAACAGCTATAAAAAAAGGCCCAGCTTTGAATCTTACAGGCTCTGTTTGGGCCACATGCCATCCTGAACCAGTCCTTATAAATGGGGGATCTGATGCTCTGGCTGATCCAGCTGGGTCATAAACTCACCCCTGGAGCTGGGGGTAGAGTCAGATCTAGCAAAACTACCTAAAGCCAGGTTGACAGATTTCCCAAGGAAAATAAGAGGGCCATTAATCAGAAAAGAAAAAAAAAAGACACTGGATAGACAAAGAAAACAGGTGTCCACTCCAACCCAATAAGCCATAGCAAACCACTGATATTTCAAAAAGTGTGAGAATCAGAGTTGTAAGAAGAAGAAATTTGTAATGATCATGAAATGGACTCAAGGACCCCAGGCTAGTGGGTCTCATCCCTGCCACACACCTTCCCTGCACACCCCCTTCTCTGTGCTCAGCTTATGGCTAAGTGCTCCTGTGACTTTGCTCGATCTCTTTCCTCTGTCTGAAATGCCTTTCTGCTCATTCTCTGCCTGCTGATGTGCTGTGAATCCTTTCAGGTCTGTGTCAAAAGTCACTTCTTCTGAGGCTTCGCTCGCCTCAGTCCATCTCTGCTTTCCCACGCTCCGGGGACCACAATTCCTCTCACCTGTTTCCATGACACTTCACAACTGAATGACCACGTTTCCATGTTAGGCTTTAGAGCTGAACATTTCTGGGATCCAGAACCACTATATTTAAATCTTGTAACCTTGGAAAATTTACTTACTCTCTCATGTGCAAATGAGGCAGCTACTACTTATTTCCCAGTGCTGTTTTATTACTGCATCCAAAGTGGCTGGTTCCTATGCTAAATAACTGTTAGTTCTCTCCATTTATTTTCATTTCTGGAAAACCATAGCATGCTTACATTATAATTCATTGTGTACCTGTGTCCCCGCCATGGCGTACTGTGAGCACATTGAAAATCAGAGGCCATTGGGTATTTTTCTCTATATCTCTGTAACAAGGCCGTCAGCTGCCTAACAAAACTTTGGTGAATAAAGGAAAGAAAGGATAAATCAAACTTTAGTTTCTGACAATATAGTAGATGAGACGATCTGTCCTGACAGAAACAAGAATTTTTTTTTTTTTTTAATTTATGGAAGTATCACAGAACTGTTATAAAAAGAAAGCATCTACACTCCTGCAGCAACAGGACTCCTGGGAAGTGAGTGCGTGCCAAAGCTACTTTTGCCCTGAGGGTTGTTACTGAGCTCTGAGTCCCTGAGCTCCTGTTCTGACTGCATGGCATGCAGAGTACAGGGGCTGCACCCCAGGGCCTGCCCAGAGTGAGTTTATAATAGGAGACTCTGTATAAAGTTGGGACCCCAAAGGATTACATCCACCCTTTAAGAATAAGCAAGACTGTGCCTATAGATAACATGACTGTGTTGTATACTTATAAATGTGTTACAATGGTAGCTCTCATGTGTTCTTACCACAATGAAAGAATTTTTCATTTAAAAAAAGATATGGTGGGGGAGACATATCTGATGAGGTGAATGAGAAAGCACAGAGGTAGCATTAATTTAAAAACCATGCCTTACGGTGTGAAGTGATGGAATTATTTGAGTATAGGGGGAAGTGGAAGAGAGGAAAATAAGTTGAAGTAAATAAGAGAGTTAAACAAGAGCCCTGAATATGAGGCTAAAAGCCCTTTTCATACAATTACATGTGTCCAGGGAGAGTCCCTGTGAGTTCGGGGATTATGCCATGATGAAAACAGCTGAACAAGATTTTGCTGAGTAATCCAAACATTCCGCTTAGTCCAAAGGGGGCTACTGAACCCATTAATAAGTTTTTGTAATACTTATGATGAGCAGCACAAAATGCTTAGTTAAGGAGAGTAGGTATAAAACAGAAAAGTTTGAAAAAATACAAGTGAGTATTTTTTTTTAATATTCCTATTCAAGTAAGCCTCTTTTGAAAAAAAATGTATTTTTCCTCTGGTTGAAAAAAATAAAAAGAATTTCTAAGGTATGTACTTCAGGCAGAAGGAAAATAATCCCACATAGAGAATTCTGGATGCAAGAAAGAAAGCTGAGCAAAAGTATTCACCAAATAAAAAAATATTAATGCCAATATTGACATTAATAGCCATACATTGGGAGGGTGATCAAAGTTGAAACCTTCTAAGGTATTTGATTGAGAGTAACAATATTAATTCACTTTAGCCTTAAAAGAGTTAGAATAGCTAGGATATAGCCATCAAAAGATAACAAAGAATAAAAGGCATACAGAGTAGAAGATACTTGATTTAGAACAAAGGACTAAATCAAAGGACTCATATATGAAATATATTATGTATATATTCTATAAATATCTTTGTATCCAGAAAATATAAAATGGAAATATTTTATATTTCTATAAACATCCTGTATCCAGAATATATAAAATAGAAATCAATCACAGAGGTTATCCAAAAAGCAAGTACACTATATACAGCTGTTCAAGTCTCAGGGAAATGCAAATAAAACCTACAGTACAATCATACTACATGCCCAGCAAAATAGTTAAAATTTAAAAAGACTATATCAAGTATTAGTGAAGTTGTGGAACAACTTGAACTCTCCTCCGTTGTTGAGAGTGTAAACTGGAATAATCACATTGGAAAACTGTTCAGCAGTGTCTGTTAAAATCCAGTATATGTATATCCTATGATCTAGCAATTCCATACCTATTCTTATACCCAATAGACATATGTTTATCAAGACATATACAGCATATTCATAGAACTTTTTAAAAATAGCCTTATACTGGAAATGGTTCATATGTCCATCAAAAGTAGAATGGAAGCTAAACCAGTTTGGTTCAGTGGATAGAGCATCTGCCTGTGGACTCAGGGGTCCCGGGTTCGATTCCGGTCAAGGGCATGTACCTTGGTTGTGGGCACATCCCCACTGGGGGGCGTGCAGGAGGCAGCTGATCAATCTCTCTCATCGATGTTTCTGGCTCTCTATCCCTCTCCCTTCTTCTCTGTAAAAAATCAATAAAATATATTTCTTTAAAAAAAGTAGAATGGAAAAGTAAATTATAATATATTCACACAATGGAATAATTATAGGAATGAACAAATTATAACTATATCCAACAATATAAATGACTCTCAGAAACATAATATTTAATGAAATGTGACACACCAAAGAGGACATTTGAAATGATTCCATTAATATAAAGTTCAAAATATGCAGTATTCGCCTCTAGTATTAGAAATGAGGAGAGTGGGTCCCTTGTGGGAGGGAATAGTGACTAGAAGAGAGCACAAGAAGCACTGTGGGACACTGGCACTTATGGCTTTTTTATTTGTTTTATGTGTGTTGAATGAATGAATATATTGAATTTGGGACAATTTGTTGAGCTTATGAGTTGTGCCCTTTCCTGTATATTATACTTTAATTAAATTTTAAAACATGGTAGGGTAACTGTTAAAAGATAGGCATAATACACATACCTTCCAGAAAAAAACAAACAAAAAAAAAAAAAGAAAGAAAAAAGGAACAAAATGTAAAAAAGAGAAGAAATCTCAAGAAAGAGGAAAATGAGGGGGGAGGGGAGGAAAATAGAATAAATATAAGGTATGTAATAAGATAGTAGATATAAATCTACATATATAAAAGCCTAAGAGACCATTACAACCAGTGGACCAAACAATAAGTTGACCGGTTGCTATGATGCGCACTGACCTGGGGGCAGATGCTCAATGCAGGAGCTGCCCCCTGGTGGTCAGTGCACTCCCACAGCCAACCTCCCATGGCTAGCCAACCTCCCATGACTGGCCAACCTCCCACGGTCCCTCCCCCCAGCCTGTGGGCCCCAATCGCCCTGATCAATCATCAGCCAGGCCAAGGGACCCCACCCGTGCACGAATTCGTGCACTGGACCACTATATTGGCAGACACTATAAATTTAATACACAAAAGTCTCTTGTTAGAAGATATATGCATTGAAGCTATTCTTCTTTTTTTTTTTTTAATTTGAGCACCTTTTATGTGCCAGCACTGTTCTAGGAGCTGAGGCTATAACAGTACACAAAACAGACAAATATTCCCATCTTCATGGAGGTTACATTCTTAGCAGAGGAGACAGATAATATATAAACAATAAAATAGCCACTGTGTGGAATGGTAGTAAATGTAATGGGGAGGAGGGAAATAAAGCAAGGAAAGAGAATTACGGAAGTATTAGAAGTTGTCATTTTTAAAGCACTCATGGACAACCTCAAAGATCTTAAGCAGATGAGGAAGTGAGCCATATGTGTACCTAGGGTAAAAATGTTCTGGTGAGAGGGGGAAAGTAGCAGTACTACACTGAGGCAGAAGCCATTAGCTATGTCGGTGGCAAGAGGCCAGTGTGACCAGCAGAATGACTGAAGGAGTGTGGAGTTGGAGATGAGGTCAGAGATAACAAGGGACTTTTCTAGACTATGGCAAGAACCTTGGCATTTACTCTAAATGAGATTTTAAAAAAACCAATGGAAGGTTTAGAGCCCACAAATGGAGTTTTCATACTTGTATCTTAAAGAACCATCCTGGCTTCTGTCTTGAAAACAGAAAGTAGGATAAATCAGGGGACCTGTCAGGAGTTGGTTGCAATAAGTAAGCTGAGAAGTGACGGTAGCTTGGAGGAGGGTGCCATAGCAGAATCGCTGAGATGTGTTTAGATTCAGGATCGTGAAAGTAGAGCTGTGGATCGGAGGTGGGATATGAGAGAGAAAGGAGGTGAGGATGTCTGCAAGGGTTTCGACCAGAGCAACTGGAAGAATGGAATTGCCACTTTTTATTGAGTTGAGGCAGATTTCAGGCAGAACAGATTTGCAGAGAAAAGTCATGAGTTTGGTTTTGGAATGCAGTATGCTTAGACAAGCAAATGGAAATGGTGTATGTAGATGGAGTATCTAGCATTCATCAGAAATGTCTAAGTTAGAACTGTAACTTTGGGAGTTGTCTGTGCCTGAAAATGAAGTCACAAACATTTACAGTTGACTCTGCCAAAAGGAAGAATTAAGAAAGAAAAAGAAAGAAAAAAATGCCCAAACTAAGAATTAAGCAACTTTGTGTTCAGCATCTTTGTTTTGTTTTGGAGAAATTCACTGCTAACTCCTTAAGAAAAAGCAAGACCTTATGCCTCTGGGAGCTGACTTCATCGAGATAGTTTGGGGCCTATGTGCTAACTGACTTCTTGTCAGAGGATAAAATCTTGTTACTGGGTTCATTTAATTAATAGACACAACTCAATTTGCTTATTGTTTATTTTGCAGATATATTACTATTTATTTCTGATTAATAGTTCATGTTTGAAAATGGTTCTCAATCACCCATACTCTAAATATTAACCTATGCCAGCTGATAAAAAGGAGGAAGTTTTATGGTTATGACAAAATTACAGCTCTGTGAAAAAAAGCAATACCTGCTTTTAACAGGCTAGCTGCTTGTGCTAATACCCCAGTACATTTTTCTACCTGGCAGACCATCTTCTGGCTGATTCCAACATTAATGAATATTAAATGTTGACATGCATTTAGTCAACTTGTCTAAGAAATTTTACTTTAAGGGGAAAAAGAATGCACAAAAGTAGATAAGCTCATTTAGGTGGCGGAAGGAGCCCCAGGGACATACCCTAGAGGACTTCTGCCTTTGAGGTCAGAGATTAGAGCAAGAACAATCAAAGAAGAGGGAGGGGTTGCTAGTTCACTAGGGAACCAGCCTCCTTCCTAAAAATGCGTCAATCCTTGCCACAATTACATAAGTGTAGGTGCTATTGATCATTATCCCAACTTTAGAGACTCATAGCTGAGCTTCTGCAAGAAGTGGTTTGCAAAGGGTCATAGAGACCAAGATGGTAAACCATTTTAGTGCATGCAATCTGCCTTCTCCTATTCTTGCCTCCACTGCCAGTGAGGGGTGTGAGTGCATTTATGATAGTGCTCGTTCTTCAGGGGTTTCTCTGTTTTCCTTGCAGGTGGGTATGTGGAGGCCTTGGAGGTGACTAAAGAAGCACCAGGCCAAGGGGCCTTTATGCCACAATCCATCTCAGAAGAGACCTATGATGATGTTGAGTGCCCTGGGAGGAAGGAGTAAGTGCACCCCAGCCCCTCAGCAGTGTGGTCAGACCTTAAAGGCTCCACGAAGAGACAGATGAATGGTCTTTGTTTCTTTTCTCCCCACAGATCAAAGTCGGACTTCTCCAACTCATTTGCCTCAGATAGTGGTAAGGAAGGAAGACACTTCTGAAACTGCCAGTAGCAACTGCTGAGTGCTCGGTGGCTGATTAATGATAACTTATCTTTTGTTTATATTTTAATAATACCGGTTGGGTAGGTGACAGGGAGCTCAGGGCAGTGCAGTGGGCTAGTGTGTGTGAATAAATGCACTGAGATCTGTGAAGGTGAAGGTGCTGGTAATGGGGCTCTTGCGGCAAAGAAGCAACATTGCTGTGAAATGGCTTCCTTCCTGATCTCTTCACAACGGAATTCTGATTGGAGGAATGTTTTTACGTAAAACACTTTCACAGCTTCCCAGGACTTTTATGGTTGACCTTAACATGGTCTGAAGGCCTTGAGTGGGTTGCTTCTACCTCTCTCTGCAGCCTGTGTTCTCCCTTGGTACTGTCTTCATCTCTGAGATCCAGTCATGCTGATGTTTTAGCTCCTCAACTTGCCAGGCTCCCAAGCTCCCACCAAGCTCTTGCCCCAGGGTGTTTGCATATGCTACTCCCTCTTTCTGGAATTTTCTTTCCTCCCCTGGACCCCTTCGCCTAAGTGACTCTTGACCTTTCTTCTAATTTCAGCTCAATCATTACTCCCCCAGTGAACACTCTCCTTGGTGTACAATCTCAGAGCAACAAGCCTCTCTTTTTCATAGCGCCTGTCACTTATAATTTTATATTTATATGATTTCTTTGATTAATGACTCTCTTCCCTTAGCCCCTAGCACAATGCCAGGTACTTGTTATATAACATTTTTTAAATATTTTTTGAATGAATGAACGAAAAAATGGAGGAGGGATCAGCAGGTGCTACTCTGGTTGGTTTTTATCCTTCTTAGAATGCCAGGATTTTAGATGGAGAAACCCTCTTAGAGGTCATTAAACAGAGACGTTCAATAGCTCCCCTAAACTCACTGTGTGAAGTCGAGTTCTGAACGTGAAAATCCTCCATTGTCAAGGTGGATTCAAAGAATATCTGTGTATATTAAGCTTTTGTGTTGCGCCATGCTGTGAAGGGAAAGAATATCCAAGATGAATTAATTCTCCATTATTTCCCCAGAATTCAACACAATGTCTGATGTGTAGGCTCTGATTGCTACATGTTAAATATGCCAAAGGGGAGGGTAGAAGAAAGGAATCTGTTGACAAATCAACTTTCATTGACTTGGACTCAGGGGTGGAAGCGAATATTAATTTTCATTTGTATATACTACTTTTATAAGGTTTAATTATTTTTACCATGTGCCTATAAAAATATGTACATATGTTTCAATAAAAATTATTTAACAAACAAAAGATCAAAATACCTAAATACCTGGTCAATATCCAATAATGTTTTGCTAAATATGAATCTGAACTATTGTCATTATAATGAATGAATTGTTTTTAATTTCAGAAGAAAATAGTAACGAGATGTATGAAGACGTATACAGAACAAAGAGCAACTCCACAAACATAGAGTGAGTTTCTCTTTTTCTTGGCTTCCTACCTAATGGCAGGAAGCTTCCTGCTAGCTTAGGATGATGAGCTTAGGAAGTAACTCCCTGCCCCATCCCCACCATCTTTAGGGAGGATTTGCACAGAGAATGGAGGTAAATAGAACACCCGTAATTGTACACAATCACATGGTATAAATTTCAAATTACATTGCTTTCTCTTTTGAGAAAATGTCCATCTCCCAGAGTAGGGACTTTGTGTTATAAAATAAGTGAGAGATAAGTAAATGTCAACAAAAATTTGCTTCCATTCCATGGTTTTCAAGAACAATATTTGTTCAAGTGGACATCGTTTGTCAAGTTTAGTTATCAGGGGCACGTTGTGGAAAGGAAAACAGCAATGGTCAAAAGCAAGAAGTTTGAGGGTTGAAGGAAAAAAAGAGGATCCATGCTGGATGGGATGACCTGCATGTATCATCCCCTCTCCCTACCCCCAAAAAACCCAAGAGCATATTTGAAAAAACTTCATTCATCAGCTGGGTTGTCAGTTATTGTTGTATGATAGCATTTGGTAAATTAAAAATCAGTGATGTGAATTTTAGAAGCAGGAATTTCTGTAAGTTATTTCTAGTATAGTTTGTAAACCATGCTTCCCTGAGTCATCTTCTCTAAAAGGAAGACTTTGCTCCATAAACTGCAAAATAGAGACCATTTAGGGTAAACAAACGTTTGTATTGAAATGTAATAATTCCCTTCATGGCTGACTGGCTTGTGCTACTTCATATTGGCGCCAAAACAGAAAAGAGAAAAGTTGGTGAGGCATTTTCCTGCTCTTCCTTGGGTGGGTGTTCCAAGCCTCTGGCCCTTTTCCTACACCAGCCTTCCATTTCTAGTACTCTCTCAAACACTGTTTCTACCCTCTGATTCCTCTTAGTTTAGATGGCAAAGCACTTAAGAGACTACAGAGATTCTTCAAGAAAGAAAAGGATAGATTTAAGATGAAGACAACCAAATTGAAAGAAAATGTAAGGTAAAAAAAATCCTCTTCTATTTCTCTTTCCAGGAGACAGTTGGCAGTGCCGGTCTCATAGTCAGTCATACAGGCGGATGGTCTCCATCCTGCTCTCAGACACAGTGGGGAGCGTACCAGAAAGTAAAACCAAAGGCCCTGGCTATCACTTGCCTTCTTCTTGCCCATTTTTGAGTGCACCACACTCACAGATGCTAATGAAAAAAAAAAAAATAACAAAGTCCCTTTTGAAAAAATTGATGAGAAAAGGTTACACGTTCTCAAGAGTAGAGGGAATTCTTAAGCAAAATCCGGAAAGGAAGCTGACCTCATCACCCTTGGCATATACTGCTGGTATCAGTAAGCATTATGCTATTAATTACAACCCTTTTTGCATTCTTATTCCATCAAGTTCCAGTGGTTTTTATTTGTCTACACTTTGTAATCCAATTCGCCTCTCTTGAGAAAGGCAATGTGTGGAGAGGGAAGATGAACTTTTCAGCTGAATGGTCCATCTATCTTCAAGTCTTAGGCCTGGAAAGGACCCTCCAGCGTCACCCGCTAATGACCAATGTTTGGGAGGGATACATTTTCACTGGTAATAGGAAGAGATGGAGGCCTAGAGTCTGGATTCTGGTTTCAGCTCTTCCATTTATTCAATGTGTAACTGGGCAATTCACTTTGTGTTTGCACCTGTACAGCCTGTTTCCTATTGCATACAGTGAAAGGGAGACCGTGTAGTCTCTGGAGGCACTTCTCTCCCTCATCTGGAGAGATAGGTGTGTAGATGTACATGCAGCTCTGTATTGTACGAGGACAGGAAATTGTAAAATAATTTGCCTATTACAAATACTGACATGGAATTATGTTATTCTACCTTGAAGTGCTTTTCAATGATAAAGCCTCCAAGTTACGCAGCTTTAAGTCTAATTGTCTATTGGGTATAGGTCGGCCAAGAGATCCAATAGAATGCAGGGTTTATGAATCGAAGTCCTGGCTATGGAGAAAGAGGTCCTTTGGCTCCAGCAGTCAATGAGACCTAGAGGCAAACCCTGGCACTAGCCGGTTAGACGCTTCCAACAAAGATGATTAGCATGACACCCGCAGTCCCTTATAAATAGGACCCAGTGAGAACGCTCTCTGACTTCCACTCCAACCTGCACATCCCAGTGCTGACAGCACCCAGTCTGGTCTTACAGACACGCCAGCAGGATCACTGAGCATCCATGTGTCCTGGGCACAACCGCTAGGTATGCGCATCCTTACAGAAGTATCTCGGTAAGATAGATAGGCATTGGGATTCACTTTAGAAATGAAGACACTGAGGCTTATATGAAGGCGAGCTGATTTTCCCAAAAGTGCTGTTCCTTTGGATATTTCTTTATCACGTGTTTTTTTCACACAGTGTCACATTAATTTATGTTTGCTCTCCCTCACTAAATTCCAAGCTACTTCAGGACAGAAACTGTGTCTAATCATGTTGTATACCCAGCACCTGGGACTGTAGGGCTGAACTTAAATAATTGCTTAAAATACATGGATTTTTTTTTTCCCTACCACATCATATTTCCTTCCATGTGATCCTAACTGAGAGATTTAAGGAGAAGCCAACCATTTGTCTGGGCCAAATGTCCTGACCCACTTAGCAGTTTACCATCTTCCAGCTCCGCCTGGCCTGGAATTCTGCCCTCATCCCTTTGGCTTATGCATAGACATCGGCAGGGCCCAGTGTCTCCAGAGGGCTGTGTGCATCTGATGCCCATCTTGGAAGTTTAGAAGGCAGACATAGAATGCTGGATGGAGAAGGGCAGGGCCGTGGGGCAGCCTGAAGCTGTCTGGTAGGAAAGGGGTATAAGTCGTCCCTTGAGATAAATAAGCTCATCAAAAAAGTGGGGAGAGGGTCAGAACACAGATGCAGGGAAGGTAAGCTCTGCCCGCATCTTTGACTAGAGACATCAGTATCAAGAAACCTAGTCATCACTGTGCTATCCTGAACATGGCTTTCTTTCCTAAACCTTCTGTGCCTTTTGTCCATAACAGTGCGTTTTCCATTTCGCTGCCGGATTTAGGTAAGTGACATTTAGTTATTTCTGGCACAAAACCACACAGATTGGCATAGTCCGGGGCCGGGAAAGAGAAGCAGTCATCCTGCCTGCATTCCACATTTAATGAAAAATTGACACATCCAAGTCAAAGAACAAATTTTACACAACAGTAGTACTGACTTTGGGGAAGATGAGTATCATTTCTCAAGTGCCTACTATATCCCAGGCCTCTTAAAATCATAGAAAAAAAGAAAGTTATTATCATCCCTTTTTAGGGAGGCTCTAGGATCCACATCCCTACTTTAGTGATCTGGAATTTGTACTCAGGTCTCTTGGATTATGAAGCTTCTGCATTTGAATTATACCACACAGCCACCTGAAGGTTTGATAGCCAGATCTCCCTAATTACAATGTAGTAAGTTGATCACGGTCATGTTGTGGCACACACGCTAACCGAATCAAGGCTGGGTTGTTGCAATATTGTTTGCTTTGCTGTAAAAACAATAGTGCACAAATTAGCGCAGTGCCTTGCACCCAGTAGGCTCTCAACACATGTCCCGTTAAGTTTAATCTGTTATTAAAAGCGGGCCATGTCTTCTGTTGGATTTTGTGGGCTCTAGCCATGGTGGCTGCTTTAATTTCACTCTGACTTGGCAATTCAAATATATATTATAGTCCACATATACGAGTTTGCTGAACAAAATTTTAAAAGATTATATACACCTGGTCAAACTACAGGTCTCCCAAAATATCTATGTTAAAAAAAAAAAGAGGCCAACTTAGAACAGACATGCATTGTACCCCATCCAAATTTATGAGTAATTGAATGTGAATTATAAATAATTATGCCAGAAAAATTTCAAATTCGCTCAGGTGGTGAATCACTTGAACATTATGGGTTTCTATGTAGAGCACCAAGGAATGTGAATATCTTAAAATAAACATGTCTAATTATGACTATGTACTAAGTCAGATTCCATTTTATGCAAAATTATTATAAAGGATCAGTTGCCAATGATTTGAAATAAAAATTTTGGGAGGAAAAATCAACATTAATATTCTATTAAACTCGTATTTTTCCTTAGGAATTAAGAAAAAGCCTCTCACTATTCTAGCAGTTATAGCATCTTTTTTTAAAAATTAATTCCAAAGAGGGAAGAAGGGTTTGGGGGGCTGGGAGAGAGATAGACAGACAGACAGACATCGATGTGAGAGAGATACAGCAATTGGTGCCTCCCATACCTGCCCTGACTGGGCATCAAACACACAACCTAGGTATGTGCCCTGACCAGGATCAAACCTGCAACCTTCTGGTGCATGGGACGATGCTCCAACCAAGCCACACAGGCCAGGACTCAGTATAACATCTTTATCCAGGTTTAGGATGATGGAAACCTAGTTTAAAGCTGATCCTTTCAGCAACTCACATTTCTGGAATCAAATTAATCTAAATATGTGTGTGTGCACATTTGAGATATGAGGGCATCTGTGTGTTTTTAGTACTTCAGTTGAATTTCTCCCCAAATGAGGACTTTCTCGTTCTTTGATCCTTTCAGCCTATCTGTGTTCTGTGATCAGGCTTTGGTAAAAGAGGCTTGGGGATGTGCCTGGGTAATTAGGTAATTGTATGCAATTTGAGAAGCCAGGGTTGTATAAACCCTACCTAATAATGGACTGTTTTGATCCTATCTTGATTCTAGAACTTAGGTCCCAGGAAGTTATTATGCACGCTGACGTGACCATCAATGAAAAAGAGTCAAAGTAAGTCCTTTTACCTTCTGTCCATCCCTGGTATTTAACCCACGTCCTGGTGTCTTGTTGCATATGCATCTTTGGGTCTTGGATGAAAAGCAACTTGTTACATCCCCCCAATGAGAAGGGAAAACAATAAATAACATAGATGCTCTAACAGTGGAAGGTAACTCAAACGTCACTGGAGCTTTAGAACCTGTCTCTTATCCTTGAATCTAGGGACTTGAACTTATTTCTATGCAACAAACATTTGTTTAACAAGGCAACAGGGGAGATGGGAGGTGCCATCTGACAAAACCTGTGTTCTCAAAGACTAAATAATTATAACCTATCGAAAAGAAAGCTTCCCAAAACTTGACTCCCCCTCTAGCTACATATCCATCCTTTCCCTCTAAACTGAAGTCTCCTCTGCTCATCCCTTCAAGCTCATGGCAATGACCTCTGTGCTAGTCACACCGGTGCACTTATTTTTGGTAAGGCCACTAATAATTATTTGTTACAGCTAGCACAGACCGTTAAATCCTTAGCTTTCTTTTTTTTTTTAATATATTTTATTGATTTTTTACAGAGAGGAAGGGAGAGAGAGATAGAGAGTTAGAAACATCGATGGGAGAGAAACATCGTTCAGCCGCCTCCTGCACACCCCCCACTGGGGATGTGCCCGCAACCGAGGTACATGCCCTTGACCGGAATCGAACCTGGGACCTCTCAGTCCGCAGGCCGACGCTCTATCCACTGAGCCAAACCAGTTTCGGCTCCTTAGCTTTCTTGATTTCACCATAATATCTTAAACTGTTGACTATGGCAACCTTTAAAGAAAAAAAAAATACTTTTCCCCAGGTTTCCAGATTATTAATATTTCTTATTTCTCATCTTTTGGCTGTGGCTCCTCCTGCTTGTTTTTGGCTTTGTGTGGGTGCTGTGTGAGTTCTAATTCTACTGTTCAACTCTTCCTATTTCACTTCTATTCTTCCTTTGTATGTTCTTGAATGATCTCATCCACACTAGGGCTTTGATAGCAATCACTATGGTAATGATGCCAAAATTTACATGTGGAGGTTGGATTTCCCTCCTCCACTCTAATAGGCCTAACTCTATTTGAAACTCAGAATTTCATAATAACTCATAACCTCAACCCTTCACCCAGATATGGTCTTTTTCTTCTAATCTTTATGTTGGTGACTGTTTCAATTGCCCAAACCAAAATTCTAGGCATTGTCCTTAACTCCTCCTCTCCTGCCATGCACCCTCTTCTCTTCCAATTCTCCCCCAAACACTCCCACATCTCTGTCCCCTCTGCCCAGCCACAACGCAGGCCCTCACTGGTTTTCAGTTGGATTCCAACAACTTTCTGAATGACCATCTCACCTCCACTGCAGTTTATTCTCCAAACTTTCCGACATGCAAATGTGATCATGTCACAAAACCAACCACCCAGCAGCTTGAAATGTGGAGTGGTTGTCAATCACTCTTAGAATGAACTCCGAACTGCTTAGGAAGATATACAATTCCTTAGCGATCCAGCCCCTGGCAAACCCTCCGCCTCACCTGGACCTCCTCCTCCGCACCTGTATTCCAGTGTTCCACCTGTACTATACTACCTGGAGCTCCTGGAGCTCAACCAGTTGTCCAGTATTTCTAAAGCTTCACATTTCTTCCAGCTTCATCAGTTCATTCAGCAGGTATGCAGTGAACATGTACTGTGTGTCAGGATATACAGCAGTGAAAACAGATATAATTTATATTCCTGTCTGATCGAAGACAGATAAATTAATAAAAAATAAATCCGTAATTTCACATTGGAATTTGGTTGTTTGGAAATTTTGAGAGAGAGTGAACATAAGGTGTGTTTGTGTTGAGAGAAGACTGATAGTCATTTTAGAATAGATCATTGAGGAGACATCTAGCAGGAGGGAGAATTTAAGAAAAGAGGACTGGTCTACCTATAACACTTTGCCGTGCTTTTTGCCTGGTTGTCTATTTTACCCATCATTATTTACAACTGAATTCAGATTTCCCCAGGAAATCCTCTCTGACCTTGTCAATTTAGGATAGATACCCCTCCTTAACCAGAACATTTTCCTCGAAGTTGTAGTGGTCTTATTTCTTGCTTGTCCCCTCCTCTAAATGAAAGCTCCCTAAGGAAGGGACTGTGGCTTTCCAATCTACATCATGTGTCCTTATACCAAAACAGTTGGTTAATTCAGGTAACAAGGGACCTCCTTTAAAAAAGAAAGTGAGCAAAATAATCTGGAAGCTCAGAATAGGTACCGTTTCCATTATTTGGGGGATCAGGACAGTCTCTGTGCAAAGGTGAAGCAGGATATGTAACACTTTGACAGGTGGGGGAACTGTGTAACTAGAAAACAGGTTTTTGGCAAGCTTGTTGCTTCTGATGAACACAAATGCTTAATTTTAATGTGTTTGAATTTATCAATTTACCCTTTATGATTGTTGCCGCATCTCTTAAAGAAGTATTTATCCCAAGGTCATATGATGTTCTCCCTTATCTTCTAAAACTGTTAGCTCTATCTTTTACACTTAAACCTTAGATCTGCCTGGACTGGATTTTTGTATTTATAGGGAAGTAGAGGTCTAATTGAATTTTCTTTCATGTGAATAAATGTCCTGGCAGGGTTGAGTGGTCCCTATTTTCTCATTGACCTACAACACCACCTTTGTCATACCAAGTATCCAATATCTGAAGACCTGTTTCCATATTCTCTGATCCATTCCGGTGTCATATCTATCTTCAGCACATCGTGGTCTGAGAAAGTAGTTGATATCAGTACCTTAACATGTTCTGAGACATGACTTATGCCAAGTATATGGTCAATTATTATAAATATTCTATGTGCATGTTAGAAATATATGACTTTTCTCTATTTTTTGAGTTCTCTAATTTCATGATACAGGGATCAATTTATGTACTTTAAATCAAGTATGTGTTAATTTTCTTATTAAAAATCTTCCATAAATTTATGAATTTTTAGATGCTTGATTCATCAATATTTGAAAGAAATTGGTTGAAATCTCACACAAGGATGGCAAATTTCTGTTTCTTCCAAAAGTTCTAGCATTTGTTGCCTTATATATTCTATTTTATTAATTGCATACAAAATTTGAAATATATTCTAGTAAATTTAATGTTTCTTCATTATGTTGTAATCATTTCTATCTCTAATACTATTAACAAAAATATGTATATAGCTCTTACTGTGGGTTAGTCACTGTTTCATATATTTAATATACATTAACTCATTCAGTCTCACAACAATCCTGTGAAGTAGACACTATTATTAAACAAATTTTATAGAAGAGAAACTGAGGCACAGGTTAAGCCACCTGTCCAGGCTCACCCAGCTAGTGTTCTCCACTACTGTCTCCTAGAGATTCTCTGTCTTGAAGTGATGTGCCCAATATTATGTCTACTGATATTTTCATTAGTATTTCCCTAGTATAGATGTTTGATCTTTTGTTTTCCATATTCACATTCATGTCTCTCATATAAATAACAGAGCTGAATTTGGCTTTTTTAAAAATCCAGTATGACCCAACTGGTGTTGCCCAGTGGTTGAGTGTTCACCCATGAACCAAGAGGTTCCCAGTTCAATTCCTGGTCAGGGTACATGCCCAGGTTGTGAACTGGTATGCAGGAGGCAGGTGATTGATGTGTCTCTCTCATTGATGTTTCTATATCTCTATCCCTCTCCCTCCCCCTCGCTCCAAAATAAAAAACATATTTTTAAAAAATCCAATATGATCATCTGTCTTATCTCCTACCTTGTCCTTGACCTAAATTTCAGTCTTCTCAAATGCGGTGGGGCTGACACTAGCGCTTTCCTCAGGACAGACTTGCCTTCTATGCTTGCATGTTGCTTACTGCTCTCTGTCTGGTTTCAGCTGATTTGTGGGGCTGTTAGGATACTAGATGTAGTCCTTAGCAATTTAAGACAAAACGAGACCAAAAAAAACGTATCCAGGATCCAGCGTTCTGAATTTGGAGGGCCCTTCAGAATGTTCTCCTGCTCTCTGCCGCCAAATGAGGACATGCAGAACTCTGAGCAGGGCAGTACAGTCAGAGCTGCCTTTCAGGGAGTAACCCAGCCCTCCACAGAACACTGCAGAGGAAGTCAGAGTAGAACATATGTTAGCATGTCATTACCTAGGTCATTTCAGGGAAAGTTTATGGGACCAAAGCCAGGAGCTCATAACGCTGTGACCTGCTTGAAGTTCTCCACAGGATATAAGAGACACTGTAGTACTGTGCTACTGATATTAATGACTGGTGATGTGGGAAAGTAAATAAATAAATGTTTCCCAAGTTAAAAAAAAAAAAAGGTATCATTAAAATCACTCAGGTGAAAGATGATCAAAATGTGCCCTAGGGTGGTGAAAGAAATGAAGGAGAAGTTATTTCAGAGAACTTAAGTGGAATTTATTAAATTGTTAATTCCTCTGGTGGAAACCATATCTTCATCTCCATTACCCAGCTCTTGATATAGCACTTAAGGCATGGTAGGTACATGAGGAATATTTCATAAACAAATGATATTGATCAAATCGCTTAGACCAGTGTTTCTCAACCTTCCTAATGCCGCGACCCTTTAATACAGTTCCTCATGTTGTGGTGACCCCCAATTTCATTGTTACAAATTGAACATAATTAAAGCATAGTGATTAATCACAAAAACAATATGTAATTATATATGTGTTTTCTGATGGTCTTAGGCGACCCCTGTAAAAGGGTCATTCGACCCCCAAAGGGGTCGCGACCCACAGGTTGAGAACAGCTGGCTTAGACCCAACAGAGTTTGACTGATGTTCATGTGACAGTAAATCTTCTGTGTGGCCTCAGAGAAACCAATTATGAAAGACATCTGTAGCAGCAGGACACTGATGGAGAGAGAGTAGCAGAATGTGGAGGGAGAAGAGCGAGGGAAGATGTTATTTGAGCTCTTGTAAACTTGGCTAGTTTGCATGTCATGTCCTGATGGGTATTTGATTGAGGAGTATCCCGAAGCACTCTGGATTAAATTGTCACTAGCTAGGTAACCCAGACCTCTGCTTTATGTCTCATTGCCTTTTGTTCATCAGAATACCTTCTAGAGAGTCAGCAAGAGAAGGGACGGGGGGACTTGAAAAGGAGGCTGACACAGCCTCTGCGGCCTGGCACCAGGGGGACCTGGGCATGTCATCTTCTCTGAACCTGAGTTTCCTAACCTGTGATGTGGCAATAGCAGTTCTTACCCTGCCAAGTTCATTAAGCTTTCTAATTTGATCCCTAGAAAAGCAAAAATAAGTTGACAAGGAAGCAAAGAGTTGACCATAACATTCACATGGTTAGCATGGGTATAAAATGATGTGATCTTTCTGGAAGATAATTTGGCAATGTGTATCTGAAATGCCAAGACCCTTTACTTAACCCAGTAATTTTACTGCAAGCAACTAGCTCTATTTAAAAAAGTAATAACCATAAAGAATAAATTATGTGCAAAAATATCAGTGTCAGGGTTATTTATAAAAATGAGATGTTTAAAACTACCCAAATAGCCAATGATTTTATAAGCATACTAGAGGCCCAGTGCACGCATTCATGCACCAGTGGGGTCCCTTGGCTTGGCCTGCACCCTCTTACAATCTGGGACCCCTCAGGGGATGTTGGAGAGCCAGTTTCGGCCTGATCCCTGCAGGCCAGGCCGAGGGACCCCACCGGTGCATGAATCCATACATGGACCTCTAGTATGCATGTAAGATCTTTGGTTAATCTCTTCCCACCCTCCCCCCTTCCCTCTGAGATTCATCAGTCTGTACCATGTTTCCATGCCTGTGGTTTCTGCTCCTGTGTTGGGGGTCTGCCCCTGGTGGTCAGTGCACATCATATCTACTGGCCAGTTGGCCTGTTGCTTAGGCTTTTACATATATATAGGTTATAGTATAGTACTCTACATAAACATTAACATATGTATTAAATATATACTAAATAGTTTTCAATGACATGGAGAAATGCTTGCACTATGACAACTGAAAAATAGCAGAATGAAAAATTGTATGTATCAGAGTGATCTCCATTCAGTTTCTGAAAGGGTTTGGAAAATGTTTGGAAGGAAACTAAGATGTCCTTGAAAGGTCAGATCATGCTTATATTGTCTCTTTTCTACTTCTGCTTCATTATTTAATACTCAAAATATATTGCTTTATAATCAGTAAAGAAAATAAGCTTTTAAGTAGGCATTTGCCTTGCCCCTTCCCTGCCCTCACAGCTGTAGCCCCTTCCAAACAGCCATGCCCATTCTCACTGAGCATCGCTGTATGCCTGGCATAGACACACTGGAATATATGGTTGGATCCCATTTTCTGGGAACCTGAAGTGGAGAGATGAAACAACTGGCCATTAGACAGAAAGCAGTGATTACTGAGCTCCATGTTGTAGACTTCAAAGGCAACAGATGTTGAAAGGAGAGAGGGGTTGGAGCTCCCTCCACAAGTCCTGGAAGGCTTCTTAAAAGACTTTCTAAGCTGCATCTCCTTAGCCAGTCAAATGCTGAGTCCTTGACATGCTGTTGGACACCTGTGACCATACTCTGAAGGGACGGGTGACATAAGGTCTCTGAAAATCTCAGAAATTCCTGTGACATAATGCCCTGTGCTTCTAATTTACCCGATGAAGAGTTATTTAAGGTTCTGATGTGCAGACACCAGATGGTTGATGGAGCAGGGTCCTGTTCTGCTCATATCAATCATGGAGATGCTGGTAATTTTGTCATACCAGAAAGAAAAAACAAAAACAAAACACGTTTTGAAGCAGCAGGTATGCCACAGACTTGAGGCAAAGGCACCTGGGTTCAAAGCCACTATTTCTGTGACCATGATATGCTCTGATCACTATTTCCTCCTCTGTAACCCTTTATGAATGACGGCTTTAACAGATGCTTACCGTGACAAGTCAATTAACATGTGTAAAAGCATAAGGCTTGGCACATAGGTTCTCAGAAAGTGTCAGTTCTTTCTACAATACCCCTCCCTCCCTGATTCCTTCCCTGCTAATGCTAAGCACTACTTAGATTAGTTTTTTTCTCATCATGGAAGTTAATGTTATTATTCATGTTTTACTAGTAGAGGCACAGAAACTGAGGCTCAGAAAGGAGAGAAAGTATGATTATAAGCAGGTTGATCGCTTGCTGCTGGTTTCCGATGTGGATTGCCACAGATCAGGGGGTCAGCTCTCTGTGGTCTGTGGGCTAAATATAGCCAGCCACTTGTTTTTTGTAAATATGGTCACACTGGCCCAATTAAGTGGTTACCCCAGAGGTGTTAGGCCTTGCAAAACCTAAACTATCTGCTCTCTGAAGTTGCCATAGAATCAAAATATACTTCTAGATAACTTTTAAATATTTTTTGTAAAACAATTACCCAGAAAGTACGGATGGTTCCATAACTGTTTTAGTTCCATCTTGATTGACTTGCTCAAAAATATTTTTCTCTTCAGGGATGAAGATAAAGTAAAAACTTGGAAGCCCAAGTTTTTTAAGCCAAAGGGGGAAAAAGAGAAGAAAGATGCTCAAGGATCAGAAAGGTAAGTGCACAGGTGTGCCTACTTTACAGCTTCTCCACTCCAGGCTATTCCTCTCACCAGCTGCATACACTTAGAGGCAGTCAGGACATTTGATTTTCAGGTTCTTCATCTGCACAATGAGAATTGCAACACCTAAATGATGGTACAGTTGAGGGGATTAGAAGAGACACAGAATATGAAAATGTAAAGAGCAACACACATTTATCTGCATCATCTCTGCTTTTGGCAAATGGGAAGTGAGGAAAGATTTCAAACCAGCCCTTATCAAACAATGAAAACCTTCCAGTCTTCTTTAAGGCTGAAAAGATTTTCCCCCTATAAGACAAACCTTACATAATATACCAGTCTGAACATATATGAAACTTGGTGTCATATCATAAGACGGACTTCCCTAAAACACAATATAATTCTAGTTATGTCTACATTAGTGTTAATTTACAAAAGACTGTTTTATCAATTCAAAATCTAACCTTCCCTCATGTGATTCAAGCTCCCAGTTGGATTCAGTGGGCTGAGGGGGAGGCAATGTTTTTCACTGTCTTGGGTGGTGACTTGGTGCTCAGTGCCCCAGCCTTCACCTCAGTTACTAGGAGATGGGGCAGCTCTGAGGCCCACTGTTTAACCAATGTCTTCGGGAAATCCTTGTCTAAATAGTCATTATGCTGGGAACACTGTGTGGTCTGTCTGCATTGGGAAACCTGTCTAGAAAAGTCCTACAAGGGGCACCCCAAAAGAAATAAGACATTAGCCTATGCCAAACTTAAACTCAGAGGACAGCATACAATGACCCTTCCTTTATATTTATTTTCTTTGGGTTTAGACTTGATGTAATTTATTTTTCCAAGTAGGAAAGATGTATTCACAGACTAGAAAGCACTTCCCACCTTCAACTTCATAGCATAGCAAAACAGAATTCCAAGAGAGGAAATAGAATTTCTTACTGCCCACCCCCCACAGACAGCTTCTTAGTATTTTAATGACTGCACCTAAGTCTTTTTAGGAAAACGTTTTCTAGTGCTTTTTTTAAAATTCTTACAACAAACTGACATAATAGTTTTTATTCTCAACTGAGTAACTTTGAAAATGTGGTAAATTTTTATGCAGTATGTTGAGATTATCATTACTCCTGTAGATGGATGTATCAATTTCCATGTGCTCCTGACTCTTTTTTAAAATAATTTCTACCAATTTATTCTACCAATAAAAAATGCTTTCTGTATTAGTACAATCTTTTCACTCTCCCTTTATTAATGTAAGATGGCACATTTTCAGAGACGCTGGGAAGGATAGCCCACCTGTAAGACGTCCCATGTGGACTTTGCATGTACAGGAACAGGGCAGCTGGAAGGCAGACTGTGGCCAGATTCTAAAGTGCCCTGTGTACCATGGGACTAGGACTTCATCTCTGAGGCAGTAAAGACAGATTCAAAGTTTTTAAGCAAGAGAGTGAAGCAGTCAATTAGATTCTAGAAAGATGACTGAAGACAGGTCTGCAGGTAGATTTGAAGAAGGAAAGACAAGAGGGGGCATGGGAATGACAGTGTGCAAAGAACCTTGAATATCAGATGAGAACTGCCATTGCCTAAAACATGGCAGTGACTGTGGAATGGAACATATAAGTAATGCTTCTGAATAAAACTAATAGAACCTGTTTCCCTCTGTCAGTACATTAAATAACTAAAATGCAGCACCAACCCCCAAATGAAGAGCAGGAGGGAGGAAAAGGAAGTAAAAGCATAGTCAGCCTCTACTGCAGGGTTATCCACTTTTATGTCCTGAAATTGTTGCATACATTTGTGGCACCTTGCTTTATTTTCTTAATTCTGTCTTCTCCGTAATCATTCAGCAAACTAGAGAGGTCTCTGATTGATTCCCAAATATGTGAGCCATTTATTCTAACTGGTTTCCATTAATCTGAGGATGAGTGGGAATATTTATAATGTTACATAAGTTTCTTCTTTCAGAGAATCTGATTCAGAGAAGTTTCTCATGTAACTTAAATTGTTTTTCTTTTTTTGTTTTAATACATTTTATTGATTTCAGAGAGGAAGGAGAGGGAGAAAGAGATAGAAACATCAATGATGAGAGAGACTCATTGATTATTTCCTGCACGCCCCCTACTGGGGATCAAGCCTGCAACTCAGGCATGTGCCCTTGACTGGAAATGAACCTGGGACCCTTCAATCTGCAGGCTGACACTCTATCCACTGAGCCAAACTGGCTAGGGCAAATTGTTTATAAACAATTAGATGTTATTCAAAGTTATCTTGCTGTCAAATAAAAATGGTTAATTGCAAGGGAAAAGAACTGGTATTGTTTGGTTCAGTTGTTTTGACAATCTGCTATGGTTTGTGTATAAAACATATATAAAATTATAAACAACAACATTCCTAAATTTTTACTGAAATAGGACCACTTTATAAATTTAGAAACTTAAGGGTTTTACTAGTATACTAGAGGCCCAGTGCATGACATTTGTGTATTCAGGGGTGTGGGGGTCACTCAACCTGGCCTGCACCCTTTCACAGTCCAGGTGCCCTCGGGGGATGTCCACAGGAGGGGGGCTAAGCTGCAGTCAGATATCCTTAGTGCTGCTGTGGAGGCAGGCTGCTGTACTCGCCAGCCGTCAGCCTGGCTTGTGGCTGAGCAGTGCTCCCCCTATGGGAGCGCACTGGCCATCAGGGGGCAGGCATCTCCTCTGTTGAGCATCTGCCCCCTGGTGGTCAGTGTGCATCATAGCAACCGGTTGTTCTGCAGTTCGTCGATTTGCCTTATATAGGATAGTACATTCAACCCTGCCTGCATTTTTCTTGCCAGTCTATCGCCTAGAAATTTCTTCAGAACCAAGAAGCAAAACTTAGAAAAGAGAATGGAAAGAGAAAAACTTTTTAGAGAAAGATTTGAGGTATGTTCTCCTCTGAAGGTAAAAACAACATTACAGGCTAGAAACTTCTGTTTATAAAGATTCTGACAGGATGTTGCACCCCTGCCTGATTCAGACATGATTTCTGACTATAAAGCTGGTATTGTTATGTTTTCTTGATGCATTCTTGTATTATCATGCCTTTGTATATGCTACTTCCTCTACCTGGAAAAAGTCCTAAGGTGCTCAGTCCAGATGTCACCCACTCTTGCCCAATTCCTCCAGGTGAAGTCACTCCCTCAGCACACACATTACAAACACACCTGTTACACAGATCAACGGTGTTACAACCTGTGCACACATGCCCATTGGGAACTAAAACTCTCAAGTCCCTTTTGAAGGAGAGATTTTGTCTCACTCAGATTGCTCCCCAGCTCCCAACATAAACTGGTGACATACTGCTCAGTGAATGAGTGAGACACTGAACAAATACATGAACAGTGAAGAAGTGGGTGACGCCTCTGCAGCTCCTGTCACAGAGTCCGTGGGCATTGTCCCATAATTCCAAACGAATCAAACAATTCTACCTTCTGGCTTTATATATGACCATAGTAAGAATTTATTAACTTAGGAACTTACTGAACACCTCCGATGTGCCAGTCACTGGACTGAGAGAGACGGAGTGTGCATCCTGCTCATAAAATTTGTCCAAGTTATGTCTCTGCCTAAAAACTTTCAAAGTATTCCATTTCAATAACTTTTATTCAGCTCAAATAATAAACTATTTGTGCCAGGCATTGAAGGTACAGGATGAATAAAAATACCTTACACTCTCATTTTATAGGACAAATGTTTATTATAATGCTGTAACAGGAGTATATACAAGATGCAATTAAAACAGTAAATTATTCAGAGCAGTGATGAAAGTCTTCATGCAGGGTGGTTAAGAGGGGAAAAAAAAGGTAATCCAGGCAGAGAAAACAGCATGAGCAATGGCATGGAAATATGAAAGGTATGTGGTATATTCAGGATTATCATATAGCTTGATGTCGCTTCAATAAAAGAGACAGAAATGGGGGCATGGGAATGACAATGTGCAAAGGACCTTGAATATCAAGCTAAGAAATGTTACTCTGATCCTGAAAGCAGTGAAGAGTGTTGACCTGATCTGATTTGCGTTTTAGGAAATCACTGTGTACTCACAGTGAACAAGGGCCTAGAAAGGGTAAGAAATCACTTAAGAAGCCATTACTCTATAACACAAATCTGTCTTTTGGATCAGATCCCACTTGGTGTAGGGTGATCTTACAATTCATCATCCAAATTCAGGAGACTTTGAGAGTGGAAGGAGGTATCCCTCATCTTAAATAATAAGTATCTGTAAATAAACACTGTCCTGAGCAAAGGGAGAAGTTTGGCCACCCAAATTTGGTAAAGTGACACCTGTCAGTATAAGCTATATATTCTGGAACACTTCTCTTTTTTTCAGTCAAGGGATCTCAATACTTAGGTGATGTACCTATAAATGTATAGGCCAGCTAGTTACCCCTAAGGTCAGATATTGAATTGCTCAACCAATATCAATCAGGTTTTTTTGGGGGGGGGGTTTCAACAAATCCCTGACTTTGACCACAGAAGAAGAGTGGAAATTGCCCCCACACCTATTCTTACTATTTTAGCTATATATAGAAATATATAAATCCACCCAGAGGGGAAGGGTAGAGAGTATGTAAGAACATTATAAATTCTAAGAGTGTTTCCTCCCACCTCCACCCTCTTTTGTAAACTTCTCCTTTCTTGGGTTTGGAACATTTAACATTACTAGCCACAGTATTTAATGTATACCTATGTTACAGCGTTCTCATTCACCAGAATGCATTCTAGCACAATTAGATAATGGATGTGAAAACAATGAAAATGCGATCTTACCAAGCAAATATAAGATTGTGGCATTTTACCATTATTTCCTTAAATAACATTCCTTTCAATGATTGTTTTGCTATTATTTTCTATTCCCCTAACAAATTAATATCTAGCATCTTGAGTTTATATTGTGGTTACTACTATATTACTTCCTCCATTGATTTTATTATAATGAAAGGAAAACGATGCAAGCACAGTCTGATTAGTGATTTCTCATTCCAGTATGATAAAGAGATTACTGTCATCAACACAGCAGTGGCGTGTTCCAGGAATTCAAGAAACGGGATCTTTGATTTGCCAATAACCCCTGGAGAAGAACTGGACATCATTGATGTCACTGAAGAAAATCTAGTGATATGCCGCAATTCTAAAGGCAAATGTAAGTTACTGGCTCGTTGCCCCCAAAATTTCACTTTAAAAAAAAAAATCTCAAAGTATTCTCTCTATAACTTAGATTTTTGTTTCTATAGATGGATATGTGCTAATTGAACATCTAGATTTCAAGTAAGTGGTTTGATTTTGTACTTCAAATAATGAATTCTAAACACTTAACACATTGTTGTATACATTCATTTCAAAGAAATACTACTCAATTTATTTACAATTCAGGAACACATCTGAAAATTAGATATGTGACGCCCTATTCTATAAGGATTACTTTGGAAGAGATTTTATTATTGTCTATTATTGTCTCCTGAGTGTGTTATCCAGCTCTACAGAGCATAATTATAAACATTTTAAAGGAGCATACAAATATTAAACGGGGTAAGAAATGCCCCAGAAATCGCCTGCTCAGTACTCCACTGTCTACATTTCAAAATATATTTCTATTTTTTCTTAGGCCTCAAGGTTGTTCACCTTAGGAAGATCCACACCCAGTGTGCCATGCACAAGTGAGAACCAGGCCTGAGACACTGGTCCTGCTCCATCAGTTTACACGTCAAAAGGAGATGGTGGAAACGTTTGTTAGGAACTCAGAAGAGAAAACAAATCCTCCACATTTAGTTGATTTTACTCCCAAAAGGTTATCTTTCCATGTCTATTTTACTGCTGGCTCAGAGAATGGGAAAGTGTGTGTTAGCATTTGAGCACTTACTCAATGAGCCACATCTGAAGTTAGCAATCATGCCTATGGCACTACCTAGTCAATTGTACAGATGGTTAGTGTGCTTCCCATATGAGTACACAAGTGTTTATAACGTTCTAAAAGATGCTGTACATTTAAAATGGGTGTAATTTAATTCTAACATAATAGTGCAACCATTTTATACTCAAAGTACAATTACAGCTCAAGGTATAAGTGTTCTGCTTTGTCACAAAATCAGACTCAAAATGGGTTTCTTTTGGAAATAGTATACTGAAAATCCACCCAATATACTTAAAGAAAATATATGCTGTATTGGCTTAAAATACCCTGTTGTCCAAAAATAAGTAATATCTTGTCTATGCCTGAACACTTATTTAAATAATAGAATTTATATGAAAGTAATGAAAAGTAAGCTGTTAATAACATTCTGTATTTCAAATGTTGTACACTGTGAAGCAGGGTGATTCTAGCGTTCCAGGGTGTGAATTTACTCCATGGCCACATCCTTTATATACTGTGAGATTATTTCTTAAGCTTATAGGTTCTTTTATTTCCTTTTTCAAGTTCCAAATAGCACTTGCCAATAAAGGCTAAGCTTATTCTAGAGACAAGAATCAAAAGTATTACAGTGTTTAGAGAGGGAAATAGGTATGAATGAAATGTGTCAAAGAGTAAGAAGGGCAACACTGAAGCTTGGCCTTTAACCACACACGTATTTGCTAGACGAGGCAGAGATAGAAAATCCACACTATCTGGTGATCAGGAAGAAATTGAAGGGACATGGCAAGAGCTGGAATGGGGTAAGTTGGGGCTAGAATATGACAGAGTGCTTACTCAAAGGTCTTAAACAGGAAGGCAATGCCAGATGTTTAGAGAGAAAAGAAAAAAACAACCCCAGCAATATAAGTGATATATTAGAGAGAGGAAAGACTAGGTGCTTTTGCAATATTCTAGGCAAAAGAGCATTTGACCAGCAATAAAAATATATAGGGCAGGAGCCTCACTAGAGATATTACAAAGGTAAGAGGAAGAATTAGGGAATGACTCCAAGGTTTCTTGGATGGTAGCCAAACTGGAAATATATTTCTGCTTGGATCCCCTAAATTAAATGTACCTACTCAGTGAGAGGCAGGGAAACCACAGCCCTCTCCCATACCTCGGGCCAGACCTGTCACAGTGGGCAAGGAGGTAAGTGAAAGAGAAGACAGGACTATGCAGAGCAGAGACCTTTCATGCAATAATTCTGCAGTGGCACCAGGACTAAATTTTAACTGAGATGGATTTGTCCCATCTCCTCACATGACCTCTTGTTCTAATTCCATGTCTCAGCTCAAAGTCTCAATTTTCTCATTAGTAAAACAGCTAACAACACTCACCTTATCTACTTCACAGGGGTTGTTGTCAGGCTGGAATGTAATAATATAAATAAAAGTGTCCTAAAATCTTTAATACAGAATACTGTATAAGTGCTGTTATTTCAGTACCTGGCCTTTTTTGAGGTTGGAAGATGTTGAAAACAAAAAATGTGTTTTGAAATTCAAATCTTAAGACTTGAAAAAAATGGCTGGGATGTAAGTACTTTTACATAGATATATAGGGTGCCCCTCCAAAAAAATGTATGTATATATACCCTTTGAATAATTATAAAGGCAGTGTTTATGAAAATAATTTCATTTTCAAAATTGAGCTATCAGCTGTAAAAATGTGTATACATATATTTGGGATGCCCTGTATTTAACGGGATTTTAAAACTGAACATTTTCCTATGTTTTTAAAGTATAAACCATTTGATTTAACATAAACTAGTACCTCATTACTATTTGTCGATATGAACTATATTTTTAGGAAAAATAATTGCCTCTAATCCATAATCAATGTGATTGTTTCTATTTCACTGTCAGCCACATTTTTTCCATTACTTAAATCATACCTAAATTTCTCACTCTATTGATCTGTAAAATTCTCTAATGTAAACATCATAACTCATCATAACTAAGACTTCAGTAATGTCATGCCTCTATTTTACTTTTAATTCTGCATGAAAACATATAAGTAAATATAACATTCTGTCAGATAAAAAACATACAAATGTACTTGACCCTAACAGAGGCTCACACTGGCCCACACAAATTCATTTATCAGCCAAGTCATCAGCCACCTGTTAACATGCACTGACGAAACCCTCCCTTCTTCCTGAGGCTTCTGTGAAACACTTAGTTTTCCAAGATGACATAGCATTCTGTTGACTGGCCCTCTCTTGCACACCTTCAGAACTTTTAGAACACAGATTGTAGGGGAAGAATAGGAAGAGAGAAAAAGAAGAATATTTAATGACAAATTCCTAAGACATAGTTGTTTCTGGGTAACAGGGTTAGGATGATTTTTTTCCCTCTTCTTCAAACATCCTTTACTTTTCAAATTTCCCACAGTAAGCATGCACTACCCGTGGAATTTAGGAAATAAAGGAAAAGCATTTTTACTAATCAATCAAATTCCTTCTTCTAAGTTTGGAAAAGCAAATTGAAATCTGGTATGTCTTGACTTTAATATGTCATTAACGAGGACTAAAGTACAGTGTTTTTCAAGTTACTTTTAGGTATCAACACTAGTAAAAGAGAAAGATGCAAACTGACCATACCCCCCGAATGCTTCCCATTGGCTAATCAGCAGGATGTGCAAATTAACTGCCAACCAAGATGGCGGCCGGCAGCCAGGCAGCTGAAGCAAACAGGAGGCTTGCTTGCTCCAGTGACGGAGGAAGCCAACGTTCCTGGCCTGCGGCAGCCCAGCTCTAAGCTCCGGATGCAACAATGTTGCAATTATAGAAGCTAAACAAAGCCCAGATAACCTGCTTTCAGCAGCTGAGGCCTCAAGCTGGAGCTGGCCTCAGAGCTAAAGCCAGCTCTCAGCTCCAGTGACAGCCATAGAAGGTAAATAAATCCCAGAATAAAAAAGAAAAAAAGGAGAGGTTGGGAGCTTCAGTCACCTGCCAGCCTGAAAACGGCCCTCAGCCCCTCATCCAGACTGGCCAGGCACCCCAGTGGGGACACCCACCCTAAAGGGGGTGCGGGCAGCTTAAAAGGAGCCCTGCTCTGTGCGTGACAGGGGGCAGCGCCCCAACCCCCTGATCGGCCCTGCTCTGTGTGTGACGGGGTAGCGCCACAATCTCCCCATCGACCCTGCCTTGAGTGTGACAGGGGGCGTCGCCCCAACCCCCCAATCAGCCCTACCCTGAGTGTGACTGGGGGTGGCATCGCAACCTCCCTATCCACCCTGCTCTGTGCATGACAGGGGGGGCGCCCCAACTCCCCAATCAGCTCTGCTCTGAGCCCGACCAGGGGCTGCACCTAGGGATTGGGCCTGCCCTCTGCCACCTGGGAGCGGGCCTAAGCCAGCAGGTCGTTATCTCCCAAGGGGTCCCAGACTGTGAGAGGGCACAAGTGGGGCTGAGGGACACCCCCCTCCCCACCAGTGCACAAATTTTTGTGCACCAGGCCTCTAGTATAATTATAATTGTAAAAGATTATAATATATATTATAATTACATTGTGTGATATATATACACACACACACACATATATATATCTATACACACACACTAGAATACTACTCAGCCATAAAAAAAGATATGAAAAAGTATTTTGTGTTTATGGATTGGAAGAATTAACACATTTGCAACAACATGGATGGATCTTCAGTGTATTATGCTAAATGAAATAAATCAGAAAAGGACAAAAAACATATTTCACTTATGAAATATAAAATAAAAATATAAAACAAAAGATGAATGAACAAAACAAACAAAAAAAACAATCTCATAAATACACACAAGTTGGTGGTTACCAAAGAGGAAAGTAGGGGGCAGTGAGGGCAAAAAGGGTGTCAAATATACGGTGACAAATAAACGCTAGACTTCTGGTGGTGAGCATACTATAGTGTATACAGACATCGAGTTGTACACCTGAAAGTTATGTTATTAACCAATGTTACCTCAATAATTTTAAAAATGCATTAAGCCACTAAGTTTGTGTAATCTGTTATGGCAGCAATAGAAAACTAATACAATGGCTAAAATTAGGACTACTACATATAACAAAGAAGACAACGATTGTATGAAGTCTCCAAGGAGTCACAGACAATCTTTTTCTACAACAGCTTTCTCTGTAACCATTACCTGACATGCAGAATATTAATTTAATAATTGAACAGAGACAAAAACAGCTTTCAAATTAACCAGAGAGTTTAATTTGATTTTGTGAACAAAAGCTTATAAAGCAATTAGATATGCTGCTTTTCTCTTATGAGTTTGTACAGTGCACATAGTAACAGGGTGAACCTGTAACTATGAAATGCTGTGTAATTCAAGAAGACATCTTTACCACGTGGTTACTGGAAGACAAATCCTTCCCACTGGTCACTAAATACTCACAAAAGTTTCATAACAAAACTGAAATTTGAATCTATAGTTATTAAAATACAAAAGCACTGCGAGGCTGGTCTCTTTTTTTTTCCTCCCCGAAACAAATTACAAAAAGTGATCTCAATTTGAACAGCTGAAAATTTTTTTAATAGCTATGTAATCAAGTGCTTCAAAAATTGAATATATCAGCCTATGAAGTGTTTTTTTTTTTTTCTTTTTCAAAGATGAGCTAAGAAAGAATGAGTGCAGTGTGTTCTTGGGAAAAAAGTTAATAATTAATATCCAATCTTACATTTTCTTATGATTGTCAAGGACATAGCCTAATGGCTGTCAACTTTAAGTTTTATTTTTTGCACTCGAAATTCACTATAGAATAGTTAAGTATACATGATAAAGAATTCAAGCATTCATCCTAAAATATTATTAAATTTACTATGCTTAGAATTTACAGTTCTATTACAATTTTACATTAAATACTCAAAACATTATACAACCATAAATTTGTGAACAGTCTTGAGAAAGCTATATTTCGGTACATTTAAGGCAGCTTCAGCCAACATTTTAAGAAGTTCTGAATATTTGTTGCAACAAAAGACAAATTTGATAATTGAATATTCACTGTTTTCAATAAATTTTAAAAGTCACTTAAAATAAGAATATCATAATTTGTGAAACTGTGGTCTTAAAACATTTTTACTACTATATTCTTACCACATAAGACTTACCTAAAATCAAGATACTCATTCTATCAGTATCAAAGATATCTATAAAAAAAAGGGGGAGGATTTACATTAAATACGAGCATGATAAACCCTGTATTTAAACAAGGGCCTTCAAACAGTTTCTCATACACATCTGTGAGGTAGGTTATTATCCACATTTTATAGATGAGAAAATGAAATGAGGTTATGTGACTTGCTGCTGACACAGCAGCCAGACTAAGATTCCAAATTAGATTATGTTCTTTGCTCTGCATTCTTTCCTTTACAAACTTTTTAAAGGGATGAAATATAAATATTGCTATTCATTGCACTCATTTTAAAAACAAGAGAAGACAGCCAAACTTCTATCAAGGTGACTTAAAAAGTGAAGCAACACAAAAGGAATAGAAGAATAATCTAGTGACCAACTTGTGATGACAACAGGGTGAGGTCTGGCCAAAGGAACCTGAAAACAAACAGGCACACAGCAATGTGACCATTCAAGGAGGCAGATATAAGGAACAGTGAACGGAATTAGAACAAAAGAAAATACAGTTTAAACAAGTTTTTGACTAATTTTTATTCTTTCTATAACAAGGCACAATTAAGGTGTTTTTATTTTTTAGATCAGTGGGTCTGTTTCTTTTTCATTTTAGGAAATGTTATTTTGTCTAGAAAAAATGGCCTTTCTTCATAATGAAGCTAACTTAAAAAGGGATTTTTAGCTGTGAAAAATACATGCATAAATTAGCAGCAAAAATTATGCAATTCTCCTTGGCTATTCCTATTTCTCTTTGAAATTTTAAATCAACACAAAGTAGCAAAACTTGAATAAACAAATAAAAAAACTGTATGAACTTTGTCAAAATTCTATGAATGCTCACAGAAGTTTTCATGCTAGGGTATTCTACAAATACTGTGCTTTCTTTTTCCTGTAAAGAGAGCTCTGCTCTAGAATTTTCTTAATTGCACTTTAAATGTAACTGAAATTTACCTACCCTGCTTGTCCCAATAATCACGAGCTACATCCATAAAATCTCAACTGCTTTAGATATAAATAGTTACCAAAAGTCACATATAGCATTGCGGCTGCAAACTGGCATTGCTATGTGAGGCTGGCAGTAAACATTAACACTGGCTCACAAAATTAATACAGGCCCACAGTCTGAGAACTTCTAGACCAGCCTGATTCTTATCAGGTTGTGGCTGAAAAGGTTTAACTAAAACTCAATCCAGACTGCACTGTGGGTCCTGCTCTCTCCTTTCTATTACTCTTCAGTGCCATGAAATGCATCATATTTACATGTGGAAAAGGATGCCAGCAACTGGTTTAAATAAATTTATATAATTTTTAAAGCTCATCAAACAAAAATTACATTTCAAAGTTGTTTCATAAGGTTTTGGAGAATATCAAGCTGGTAATAATTAGGTATTCATGAATAGAAATATACTCTATGAAAAGTGTTTTATCATCTAATATGCATACAAAATGAAAAATTATCCTTCTGTAAATGAAATTTAGGTATGCCTAAATCAGATAATAGTTTAAAAACTATAATTTAGGATAGGGGCTGGAGCTAATTTTACTTTTTAAAAAGATTGTACGATAAGAACCATGCAAATTAAAGGGAGAAGCATATCCTAAAAAAGTTCCTTCAGTATATTTTAATCACCCCCAATAACTCAGACTTACTTGTAAAAATCTATATGCTCATCTAAATACTT